GAGAGACAGACAATAACAATGACTGGGAAATAGAGAAGCGAACTGAAGATGGAGGAACGACAGTAATTTGAGGGAGATAGATATGGAGGCACCTGGTGAGCAGAAAATAGCTCACCACCTCCGAGATAACAACAAAAAGGAGGCTTCAGTAAATGTCAGCCTGTAGGCGTCTGTAATGGGAGGAGTGCCACAGGGTAAATGAGCGTCTTTGGCAGGAGAGAGCCTCGTAATCTCGACTATAATGGGACAGCTTAGGTGAGACCCGCAGGAAAATGGAAACATCCCACCGGGATAATTATATATGATTGAAAACATTCAGCAGTTTTCATAACCATCTTAAAAACCGAGTTGGGAACGCATATCGCCTCCGCAGAGTCTGTGACGTTCAGAGCGAAAATGAGAAAACTAGTGGAGGAATGTTTTTCTGAATTACGTTAAATTATAACTGAGCCGATGCTTTAAAAAACTGAGGCTGCCGAGACGTGCGCTGATATTTGAGAATGAAAATAGTACGACTTTATCTTAAACCATCTTTTGATATGATTTTTTAAAGTTTGATCCGTATCCCACATGCTAACATGGAGGAGGCAGGGTTTATGAGCTATACTGCAGCCGACCACCAGGGGGGCGATCCAGGTGATTTGGCTTCACTTTGTGTTCCTGCGAGTCGTCTCCTCACCTGAGAGTTCTCACCCGTGACTGAATCTTCGGACAGGAATCAGAGATGGAGGATGAAGGACGGGAGGAGACGGCAGGAAGCGGAAAGTAAAGAGACAGATGGTTTGAACAGAGCCGAAGTTCTGCTGAGAATATTTATCACTCTGCTCCAGAGCCTCAGTCTGAGAGCACCTTGACTCTCCACCACCTTTTCCTTCTTAATAGGAGATAACACCGTCTAATCTCTAATGGAAAAATATCAGTCCCTGGAGAAACAGAGCTAATCTGTGGCAGAAACAACAGCAGCGGTGGAGGACGAGCACTTTTTAAAGGATCATCCTCACGCTCGTCTCCTCCTCTCCCCAAAAACATTTCCAACTTCTGCCTCCACGCAGGAGTCGCTGCTCGTCATGATCGGAATCAGTTACCGCAGCCTCCTCGTCCTCCAACGATAAATTGACTTCCTACAAACATTTCTCAGTTTCACCTCTGCGCTCTCACGGGGTGATAAGCTGCGAGGAAGAGGACGACGTCCCGAGACGTGACGGAATTCAGACGACCTTGACTATTAATTAAGATCTTTTGTCTCCTCAAAACGCTCCCAGCTTGAAGTCTGCGTGATAAGAAGGTGAAGAATGAGATCTGATAACGAGTAAAGACATAGATCATTTAGAGTTGCTGCTCCGATGATCAGATCTGCAGGTTTAAGGAGCAGAGGCTCAAAAATAAAATCTGAACACACCGACTTTGCTAATTCTTACGATGCAAACGTTCATATCCGTTTGGCGCTAAAACAGAAAAAGTCAAGGTGATTCCACGTCCTCTCATACGATCAGATCCGAACACATGTTAAATACGATCATGTTACTTTCCTCTTAATCTGCGGGGAACAATAATATAATCTGAGCTTTTTACTTCATGTCACAGTCGTTGAGATGCTCTCGAGAACATCTCGTCTGTTAATGAGCCGTTCAGTCGCGGCTCCGGTGTCAAACGTCTGCTCTCGTGAATCTCACACCTGAATGAAGTGAGTTCATTAGATCAGCGACGGTGGAGCGACTCTCTCCTGCAGCCTGTCGGGGGAGGGGGGGGCCTGACGATCAGCAGGAGAAACTCTGTCGTCTAATTACTCATCTGATTGAATTCAAACATCTCGGATTTTAAGCCGGAGGAGGGCTGGATAATTACGAGCGGCCTGCTGCTGGTGAGAGAGGAGTTTCCCTCCAGTCGAGCATCACGACGGAGGATGATAATAATTGTTCTCTGAGCTTCATGCTGTCGACTGGCAGAGGAGGAGGTGACAGGAGGGAAACCGTTCAGGGTGAAGGAGGGAGGATGTTCTGTCTTTAGCAGAAGGATTTATTTTGAATACCGGATGCACGAGGCAGACGAGCGGACTTTGGCTCGGCTCACAAAACCCTTGTGTCCACGAATGTCAGAGATGTTGCAGAGATATTTTCTTACCTTCCTCCAGCTGCTGGACTCTTAACCCAAGCCTGGTTCCTACAGATTCTGCAACAGAGAAAAGGAAACTGTCTTAAAAAACTAAGATATAAGGTGAATTTGGACGTACTCGTTTTACCGTGGAATTCTGGGTAAGAGACGACCTCTGTATCGAGGTCTCACTGACATCGAACATCAGTATGAGAAGAAAAACCTCAAATGACACAAAACATTGTTGAGATAAATATATTTGACGCGTATGCAAAGCGGCATTAAGGCTAATTTATCTTAAATGTTAGATACCGAAACGAAGCAGTACCACAGGAAACCATGAGGGGCAGTGTAGTCAAGACAAGACACTTCAAAAAAACATTTTGAGGAGCGACTTAAGTGTCTGAATGACTGTGTTCAGGTAGAACGTTTCAGGCCAAGAGGTAAACACCCCATTGCATTGTGGGCCATCTTCAAGGCTTTCACTGTTCTTGTGTCTCCTTTATTTATTTCAAAGTAAAAGCTTTTCTTCAGGAGTTAGTTTGTGTGCTCACAATAGCCACAGGTAATTATCGAGCCCACCTTCAGTGTGAGGGACCCAACAGAATGATTCGATTCACTCACAGACTTTAAAGAAGGAGCTGACGGAGCGTTAATTCCATTAGACCATCAACACGTCTTGTGGAGGATCTGCTGAGATGGAGGGAGGAGAAGAAGAAGAAGAAGAAGAAGAAGAAGTGAAAAATTGAGGGCACGAGCCATTAAAAAGTTCAGATCTTCAGTTAAAACAATTTACATCAAGGTGTGTAAAAATAAAACATGTTAAAGGTAAAAAAATCCACAAAGCTGCAGAAGTGCTGAGCTGCAAAGAACTGTTATATAATATATATTATATAAGTGTCTTTTTATTCAAATATTAAAATAATAAACCCAACACATCAACATGTATTCGTTGACCACAAACACATGAAATGGGATTTGTAGAATTAACGACATAAATTTCAAGCGGCACAAAGTAAAAGAAGTTGGAAATATGTTTCTACTATATTTCCTAAACTACTTTTTACTCTTGTTTACATTTGTAAAACATTAAAACGTTGATTTCTCACCTGGTCCGTCACGTGGTCTTCATCAGGAGTTCACTTCTGAGCCTGCGGAGACTAAAGTGATGTTTTTTAATCGGAGCGCCACAAGAAGACAGTATGGGGTCGGGATCACAACGTGTTTAACACATAAATACAAACTCAGTCACCACAAGAAAACACTTTACCGCGCTCATCAGAATTCAGCTCTGTCCGCTGAGGCCACCTCCGTCTTCTGAACAGCCACTGGTGCATCTGGAAACAGCTGGAACCAGCTGTAATTACAGCTTTCAGAGCAGCGCTGAGGAGCAAGGGGCTGAATACCGAGAGATTTCAAGTGAACAGAATAGTCAACAAGCCAGGTGAAGGAGAAACAGATGCAGAGTTCACTGCACTGTAACTGGAGAGAAGAGGAAGACTAATGTTGGAGGTCTTGTGCTTTTTTCTAGAACATTTATTGTTTTCTGTAACTTATAGATCAAGCCGACGTCGGTCCAGCGACAAAAAAGAACAACAAAGTACAAACAGATTTCGATAAAGCTTGAATTATTCATCCTCACGCGCCGATTGCTGCTGTAACTCTGTTTCCGCTGACGGGCTCAGGGTGACACATGGTTATGCATCTGCTCAATCCATCGACTTCTGCAGCACGGCCGTGAAACGAGGTGGATCCCTGTGCATTGGTTTTACATCCACGGTGAGAAACTGCAATGAAAAGCTGCCGGAGTGAAAAGAAAAGACGTCACTGACTCAGTCCTGCAGGAAGAGAATTAGAGCCGGGCATGGAAGAAGAATTCAATTTTTTAGACCTTTAGCATTTTCAGAACCAAAGTGGAATGGTTGAAGATAAATAATAATAATAATAATACTTTTATTTCTAACTTTATCTGTATAGCACTTATCTCAACAAGGTTACAAAGTGAGTCACAACATCCATGTCAAAAAGTGAATGAACTAAAAGAGCTAAAGGCAAATAAATAAGTCCAAATGTGGAAATGTTATAAATATATAAATCAAAATATTGAAAACAAAGAAGTAAATCTGAAGTTTTTGTATCTGGGATATTTTTGGCTTCATTTCTGGATAGTTGGAGCCTCGGCCTCAATGCAGGAGCTTTATTCCGGTTTTAGTTTGGTCTTAGTATAATTTCAACCATGTTTTAAAGTGTTAGCAGATTGTTCTTAATGGAAGGAATCTTCTATTTCAGCTTCACAGACGAGGCTGAATCTTTCCTCACATTCAAATTCTAGTTGACCCCCCCCACCTCCCTGATTACAGCCAACAAGCAGAGATTGAAATCACACAGGGATCTGATCTGACGCAGTTGAATCCTCTCGTGACCTCGGGCGTTTTAAAAAGGCAGAAGGGACCAAGTGGCACTTTGTGGAGAATCACTTTGAACATCGTCAGCTCCTGGATGATTCACCGCTCGTCAGCGTGGTGGTGTTAACAGCAGAAGTGTCAGCGGTGAAGGATGTGTATCCGCCCACGCTCCGGTTTGAAAGAGCGAATGTAAAAGATGTAAATGTATGTAAATTGTTCTGGTAGTGGGGGGGGGGGGTCTCCTTCATGTGTCAGCTTCATTTACTGTAAACAAAGAAAGTAAAGAGCTCAGTGCTTTCATTTTTCTTTTCTTCTGCAAACGTTCGCTGTCGTTGGGTTTGTTCGGAGACGGGTCAGTGTTCGGCTCAGAAGCGACTCTGAACTTGTGACTCGTCTTTAAAGTGGAAACAAACACTGTGACCATGAAAAACAGGAAGTAAAAAAAAAAAAAGATCATTTATTTTCTTACAGGATTTTGTAGATAATCAAACAACCAGCGTATGAATCAAATCTGTATATATTTCTATATGGCAGGTCACTCACGACGTCACTGCACCAACACAACAGTTACACACTTCAACTCTGAACCAGAGCTTCGTCATATTCACTCCTGTGAGAATAAGACTGGATTTATTCTAGGTTTTCTTACTGTCAGTGAATCCAATAAAAAAAAACGAATAGAACGATGTGTTAAATATCTGACATCCCTGACTCTTCTGGAGCCTCAGTCGAAAGCACATTTAGAAACAGATTATCATTTGTTGGGGACTTTTTTAAACTGTGGTCGTGAGCGTCTACGTCATCGTCTCCAAACATCTCAGCGTCTTTCCGTCCAGACTCAAACGCAGTCCTGCGGTGTTCAAACGGAACTACTAAATCTTTTATTTTCAAACAAAGACGCGGCAGTGCGGGTGCGGGTGCGGCCACATTCTCAGGAGTTTTTTTATTTGACTGTTTTCTCAGCAGCGTCCTCCAGCTGAGCTCAGTCTGAGAGTTATCTGACCGTCAAGGTTAACGGTCGAGTTCCTCTCTGCCATCGAGTGCTGCACCGCTGCAGGACGATGGACGACAGTCACTTCAGAGAGTCGAGTCTCTGGATGTGTCGACAACGTGGCCTCAGCTGTTGTGAGATGAATTAAAAAAAAAAGAAAAAAACCCACAAACAAAGGGATGAATAATGCACTTTAAAGTTTTAGCAACTTATCTCATTAAAATCCCATCAGTGCTCTGGGGCCTGGCGGAGAGAGACGGTGGTGTATATTTGTTTAACAGCTGCTGTCGATCCTCTTTCTGCTTCTCAGCTTCCCTCCATCGGCAGCTCCTCTTTACACATGAGCTGAATTAACACACGCGGCGTCGTTTCCAGTGCTAATATCAGAATGTGTTTTCATTACATGTCTGCCTGACGCCTCCTGGATTATCTCACCGCCTCATTCTGATCAACTCGCTGCTTTTCACAATCCACCTGTCAGAGCGAAGCAGATTAGCATTTGAAAAAACACATTAACCGTCTGTGCGTGCAGCGAGCGAGGTGACAGACAGGCCCGGTGTCACAGAGCCTGTGCTGCCGTCAGTGTTAAAAGCTTTGCTGCTCAGAGAGCTGGGAGAGGAAGCTTCCAGCGGGCGGCCCGGAGGAGAGAAGAGTCCCATTCGAGTGAACAACCTGTTTTTAGAAAGCCTCCACACAACAGGAAACTGAAAACGTTAAATGCTCATGGATGTATTTTTGTTCCCTGCTTTTCTTGCGCTTTCATGTTCCGATGGAGGGAAGTCACCAGAGAAAAGAAAGGACGGCAGCGAGAGGAAGGAAAAAAGGGGTAGAAATGGAAATGAAGTGGAGAAATCAATCCCAGCTGTATAAAAGTCTCCAAGTCTCTCAACCAGCAGCTGCCAGACTGCAGCGTGCCACTCGTCAAACGGTACAAACGCACAATGTGCTCGTGGCGATGTGCACGACTGGAGTGAGTAAGACTGTGTAGACTTTGAAGATGCCACTTGTTAACACCAGAATTCACTGGTAGCAAAAATGTTGCTGGAAGAAAATCACATATGAGAAATGTTCAATTCATGTGGATCGAGAAGATCTTGATATGACGTGGACGTACGACGGCTGCAGGGACTCTGACAATACATGCAAATGTAAATTGCAAAAAATAAAAGTGAACAAGCACACGCAAAAATATTCGGAAGCCTCTAAAGAGTAATTGCACGCGGCAACAAAGAAAAAAAAAAAAAGGCGCCACGGACGAGCAAACGTCCAAACAGCAGCTCCGACTCTAGAGTTCTTTCTAATGAACGTTTCCACTTCCAATTAAACAAACATCCGTTCATCGTCCTCGTGGAAAAGTGCATCAGCCAAATGACTCCTGTCCAAACTCAATGCACCCCGATTCACTGGAGAAAAGAAGTTGTGTTTGAATATTCTAAAATTAATCCACGAAACAAAATCAGTTCCTCTCAGGAGAATTTAAAGGAGACGTGATGTTTTTCTTTTGTTGTGATTTCTTTCCTCCGCTGTGTCGTACAGGGTTCGTTGTTGGAAACAGAAAAGCTCCTAAATCACGAGGAGACTGTTTGAATTAAATTATAAACCAGAATATGAGCATGTGTCTCCTTTAAAATGTTCCAAGATGAAATTGATGTCAGCTAAAGATTGTTGTAGACATGAAACCGACATTTACATTTCTTTTTTTATATTTACAGCCTCTGAATGAAGGATATCAACACCTCAGAAGTCCGGCAGTGTTGCCTGTTTGGATCAGTATATACACAATATACAGTAAAAGACATTGTTCTTCTTTTGCTTTACGTATTTCTGCGGAGCCTCTGCCAGTGAAGTCTCCAGTGGCTCTGAGTGCAGCGAGAGGTTCTGAGGCGTCTGCACCTCAGCTCCGAAAAACCACCGGTTCATCACGTCGGCTCCGGCTAAATGAAATACTCCTTTCGGTTTTCACTGCAGACGTTCTGGGAGTCAGTCTGGTTGTTGAAAGGAAAATCTGGGCTGTCCTCCCGTTTGACCCCCTTCACTTCCTGGTTTCGATACGTCTCTTTCCTCCGGTAGAGGAATCTGCCCGTTATCGCCAGGGCGGCCACGATCACAAAGATCACCACCGCTATCACACCTGCAAGGAAGAGGACGTTTACTCCGGAAACACTCTTGATCTGAGTTATTCAGCTGAGAATTACTGATAGGAATGGAACAGAAATATAAAATAACTCAACAACACGCTCCAGAATCAGCCCTGTCGTGTCCTGACTGAAACACTGACTCTGCAAAGTGAATCTATCACAGCGGACTTTGGTCACAGAGCTTTGTGAAGTCTGTCTGTCTCTCCCTCCCTTCCCCCGGGTGCGTCAGCTCCTTCGCCCTGAGGTCTGGACGTCTCCTCGTAATCTCATTCAACACAGCGAACGAGGATTTCACACGTTTGGACTCAAATTTCATTATCCAGAAAAAAAAGGTCTGGTCTAATTGGAATTCCAGAATATGGCTGAAATGTAATTTTGCACCGTATTACTTTTTTTGATAAGGAAAAGTTCCTCCATCAGCGAGAGGTTTAATTAGCTCAGCTGTGCTTTGTGCTCGAAGACACGAAGTCACAGAGATTTAACGGAGAGTTTTAAAAGACGTCTTCTGTCGTCACCTTCACACATCGAACCGTTCGGTTTAACTCTGAAATCACTCTGATCGAGCAGAGGAGCGAAAAGATTCATTCAATCTTGATGGAATTTCTTTCTCACCACATCACCTCAGCTGCTTTTCACAGGTTATCTCTCATTAATGGAATATTCAGGGTAACGTCTCACTGTAACACAAACAAGATGACGGTGAAACTGTTCAGTACCTCCGATCAGAGCCGAGTCGGTCCTGATGGCATTGACCAGAGGTTCACCTGAACCCACTGAACCAGACTGGTCTACAGCGGAGACGGGAGAAAAGGCAGAAGAGAAGAAAATAAAGGAGATAGAAGATTAAAATTGCGAAAAAACGGAGAGGAGAGTAAAATAAAGAAAATAAAGGTCTCGAAGAAGACGAAGCATCGATGTGGATGAAGGCAGAAATTATTACACAAGAGAGGAAATAAGAGAAGAGGATAAACAGCAGGAGAGAGAGAGAAATGTTCAGACACAGTCGCAGCATCGTCATTAAGAGAGTTCAGGGAAAACAGCAGCCACAGAAACATCAAGCTGGATGAAAACAGTCTTACAGGAAAGAAACGTGACGGGAAATTCAACCCTCCATGCTCCAAATTAATTATCTCATCGAGCACGTTGTCGGGAACGTCCTCGACGAGGTGTACTTACGTAACGAGCACACACACAGACAGAGGAGAGAACAAGATGTAACATATGCTCATGTTTTTAATCTGAATATTTCAATATGTTTTGGTTTCACTTCCTGGTTCCTGGTAGGTCTTAAATCCCGCCTCCTCCATTTTAGTATGGAGTATGAAAGTAGTATGAAACTTGGCTCCTCTCGACCCCACCCTGTCCCGGTGTCCTCTTACCTGACAGGTGGTGTTTGTTCTCCGCTGCGTAGGGATTGGCCGAAGCCGAGGAACCGCAGCTGGAGCGGAGTAAAGGTCCGCTGATGATGACGGGGCTGGTGTCCGGGTGGAGCACGGCGGCTTTCAGAGGACTGATGGAGTTAAAGCTGAGCACTGAGAGACAGCCGCTGAAACCCAGAGACGCCAGCCTGGACAGCTCTGGATCCAACTCGTCAGAGTCTGAGGACGAGAGAGACAAAGTAGACAAATTATGGTTTAATCCTCCGTATAAAAACATCTGTATTGTGAAGCCAGTGATGTACGTACGTACGGACAAACCAAAAATCTGCCTCCAGCCTCTGGTTTTTGCTGGAGGCATAAAAATGAAGCTTGATTTATCGGCACTGTAACTTAAACATTTATTTAGAGGCTGGACTCAACCTGTGGGACGATTTGTCCAAATCATGTCGAACGCTGACAGGTTCATTGACTCCGCTGCACATTATCCTGTTATCAGAGGACGACAATAGAGGCAGCACATTGATTCTAATGATCAGTTTCACACACACACACACACACACACACACGATCCCTCATTACAGTCGACACACCGTCAGTCCATCACTGCACCAGACAGATGTGCACCCTCTCTCTCTCTGTTCATTTCATTGACTTCAGTCCCTCCATCCTTCACCTCCTCTCCTCCTCAGCAGTGGGAACAACAGCTGTGAGAGCCGACGTTAACCGGACACCTCCGTGTTTGTTCAGACGACCGAGGGACGACTGTGACTGTTACCAGGACGTGTTCACGGTGATGAGCAGCAGGAAACATGACAGCAGCCTGTACGCTGCTCTCAGCTCGTACACTCCTGGCTGCATCACCTCTCTCTCTCTCTCTCTCTCTCTCTGTCTCTCTCTCTGTCTGTCTCTCTGTCTCCCCTCCAGGTCCATTAGTCAGGCTGATGGATGATCGGTTTGTCAGGAAACGACAGAAAATCCACTTTCCTGCTGCTTTTTTTTTTTCTGATCGTGATCCGACAGAGGAGACGACCGGTCGCACGCTGACATGAGGGTTTTAAAAAAACACTGTGCTTCACTCACTGAGAATTAAACACAGACAAAGGGTAAAAGAGAATTTGTTAAATAAAACGAGTGGCGTGCAGCCGTGACTCCTAGATACTGTGTTATCACTACACTCCTTATGAACCATCTGTGATTTTTACACATATCGATGCTGTGAGGCCAAAACCCATAAACAAGATTTTTTAATCAAGCTGACAATAACAATCAGTATGTATTAAACAGATTGAGGCAACTTTTATATATAATAAATAAATAAATTAAAGTATATTAAAGTTATAAAAAAGTTCAGCACTGGCCTCGTAGAAATAAGGTAACTGATACTAATTTTAATATATTTGTGGAACCGAAAATAAAACTGTAATAAAACTAAATAACTGCTTAAAAACGTAAGTTAGGAATTATATTGATCGCCCCCCGGTGGCTGGCTGCAGTATAGGTCAGAAACCCTGCGTTCTCCATGTTGGTGGATGGGACACGGACACTGCTGTGCAGACTCTGGCTCCCAAATGACGTCACAAGCGTAAGACGGCACTCGCTATTGAGACTGTAACTTCATTTGATGATGACTTCCTCTGCTTCATATCAACATATTATGTTAAAAAGTCCCTTGAATAAAACAAATCAACACCTACAGACACACGCTGTACCCGTGATTCCCTTCTTCACGTCATTACTTGGTGTTACCTGATGGATTCAGCACATCTGGTCACAGCTGCTTCACAGACTCACGTTTCACCGTCAGTTTGTTTCCTGTCAAATTGACACTGTTGCCGTGAGTCTCTGTTATCAGAGCTGAGGCTGCTGCGGCCTCTCAGCCCCTCGTGTTATTAACAGCTTATACCTCAGTCCGTCTCTGATGGATCGGCTCAGAGGGAACATGAATAAGTCATGACAGAGCCAATTACTGTCCCTGTCCGAGTGTGATACAGGTCCCAGTCCAGGACTTAAGAACAGCAGCTCCATGATGATGTGCTTTAACGCTCTCAGAGGAATTATTTTCTTTACTTGAGAACATCCTCCTGGTTTAACTCTGCTAAACATATTCACACTCGACCTGAGGCTTTTCAAAGCTGCCAAACTTTTTCTTTTTTCAATCTAAAAATAAAAAGTCTGTCTCGATTTGTTCTGACATCGAACTTGAAAGCAGCACAGCTCCATCCGACGACATGAACACTGTTTTAAAAAACCTGATTTAATCTTTTTAATTTCTTGTTTTGTTTGTTTGTGGTTTTCACTCACGATGAAGTACAGGATTTTACAGGAGGACGTGCGGACGTTATTGTCCAGACTCATTATCCAGAGCCTAAAAACGGCTTTACAGCGACAGATGTTATTACTGTACAGCCTCGTCACTTACCTTGTACTCTGCCTAACACCAGAGACTTGATGGCATTGAATTCTCCGTCGGACGTCAGGTTGAAGTCCTCTCTGGGGTTCTGGTTAATCTGAAAGAAGAGAATAAATTCCTGCATTCAATTCCCCCAGAGTTTCCCCAACTTTGCTGACTCTCTGGGGGAACAGAAACAAATGCGGTGCAATGTAAATCTCTTATAAATGTTTGGTGCGATATCTTCGTCCAGAGTAAACATTCACCTCGTGGCTTCACAACATTCTGCTGAAGATTAAATGATTCAAACGAATAGAAGAACGATAAGATGAGATGCAGCTCATATTTCAGCAGAGCCTCAGCTCCCAGTGAATCAGGATGAGGTCACCTTGTTACTTATCTCACCACGTTGATAATTATATGGACATTCATGCTGCTGGGGCCTGGTTAACCTCATACATCACCTGAAGCTGCTGTTAACAAGATAAGAGTTTCAGTAGATGCAGGTGTGATTAAGATGCTTCGTGTTTCATGTTGAGATGAATGTGTAGTTTGTCCAGCTGCTGCTGCTGCTGCAGGATGAGCTGAGAGTGAAAGTGCTGACGGAGCTTTAATATCACAATACTCTACCATAGTAAATAGATGGAACTGCCTGTGTGTGCATCTCCATGTGTGTCCTTGAGTTTACCCTTGAGAAAAGTGACTTATCTATAAAACATGAGGAAAAAAAAAAATCACATGAAGCATTTTTACTCTTCTTCTTCACTGTGGAAACAGAATAACAGCTGCTGTGGTTGCACATCGAACTCAATTGGAATTCTCATGTTCCTCTGGATCTTTTCTAAAAAGCCTTAAACCGACCGACATAAAATAATGGAAATGTGTAATAAGATTATAGTCACATTTTCAAGGAGCATGATTACATTTTGATTATGGTCTAATGTCTCGGCAATGTGAGAAATTAATCTGTCCTTTAACTTTTGTTTGATTTTGAGGTAATTCAAAGTATTAAGATTAGATCTGTGTGTGTGTGTGTGTGTGTGTGTGTGTGTTACCTGCACAGACACAGAGTCGCTCAGTCTCTTGACAGTAACAGTGTGTAATTGTCCGTTGGCCAGACTCTTCACTCTGCTCCTCAAAATGTCTGCTTCTCTGCTGCTGTCCAGCTTGAACCTGACCTCCAGCTCATCTGCACACACAAACACACACACACACACACACACACACACACACACAGTTACATGTCAGACGTCACAAATATGAAAACTTTACATTCAGAGCTGTGTTTACAAGCAAAAGATGCAGATCAGCCGTCCAGGATGTTCTCCGCCTTCCAGCCCGATTTCAGCCTGTATTTTCCCCAGCCCCCTGCGACCCTCGTGTATAAGTGTTAGAGTGGACTGATGGAAAATTTCTACTGTGGTAGAAAGAGTGTGAGCGACCTCCAGACTCCTGCTGCTGCTCTGGCAACACGTCTATTCTTGAATGAGGTCTTGAGTAAAAGTGAAGTTGAAGGCAAAAAAAGCCATTTCGCTGAAAACGAGATAAATTAATTGGACACTTTGCCTTAAGAACATTTACCTACCTACCGACAACTCCACAGTCAACAGGAAACCTTAATGCACTGCTGTCCGTCAGCTGTGAGTCATTAACAGCAGAAAAATCCATTTACAGCTAATCTAACAGCAAAGTGCCTGTTTTATTAGACTCCTGGAAGAAGAAAATGTGATTTCAAATTCAAAGTGCCTCCTTCTCTTAAAAGCCAAACTCACTCACAACATCATCATCCGAGTCCAGAGTTTATAAAACACATCAGCGAGTTTTCTGCTGTTTTATTCTGCAGCACACTGACCTGTCACCCATTAAAAGCTGCAGCAAAGTTTTCCTCCCTCAGCATCACCCATCAGCTCCCACTGATAAAACCACTGAACACCTTTTTTTATTTCTTTTTCCAGCCAGTCGACCCAGCTGGACAGATTAAAAGCCAGTAGAGACTGACGGGTTGAATCCAGAGAGAAGACCGATCTGACAGATCCTGATAGATCTGGGAACGCTGCGCAGCAAAGGAGGAGGAGGAGGAAGGAAGGAAGAGGAAGGAGCAGAGGGAGGAGAGGAAAGTAATTGGAAAACACTGGGGGAGGAAAAGACGGAGAGACAAGGAGGGAGCGACCAAAAACAGAAGAGAGAGGAAATGAGTGAAGAGGACAAGGACAAAAGGATGAGAGGAAAATCGTCTAGCAGGATAAGAAAGGAAGGATGAGCAGACAACTTAACAACATAAAAGGCAAGAATCAATCCACTCCAGCATCAACCACACAAACAAGTCCTTCAAAATAAAAGCCTGGAGTCCTCCTCACCGTGCTTGTTGATGAGCAGGGCCAGGTACTCTCTGTAATACGAGGAGACGTAGAGCAGCAGAGTCGGACTCTGATTGGTCCTGAAGCTCAGCGAGACGTTCTCTCCTCTCAGCGTCATGTCGGAGTAGATGGAGGACGGCAGGGCGCTGCTGTTCCTCATCAACTCGTACGGCTCCTTGAAGGTGTAGCTGACGGACGTCGTGGACTCGAAGGTGGCCGACACCTCTGGAGGAAGGATGTGGTTGATTTTTGCAGATGAACAGACAATTAAGTCACAACATCTGAATTCATTAAAGGGAATAAAATATATTTATCAATGGTTAAAGTTTAAGTTGACAAACACCAACATTTGTAAGCTGCCGTTTCTCACGTCCCCCCCCCCCCTCTTTTCCTCCTGTTGAATGAACCAGACACTAAAAATAGATGTTAAGCGGAGGAGAGAGGATGAGACTTTATATTATTTGTGTACCTGTGTGGCAGAAGACCCCGGTGTACGCTGACAGGCCACAGTCACAGTGGAAGCCGTTGGCTCTCTCCACGCAGCGGCCCTGGTTCTGGCAGAGCGAGCCGTAGCTGCTGCAGTGACCCGGGCAGCCGGGTCGAACCCCGGGTGTGATCTTCGCCCTCTCCTCCAGGTCCAGGGTGACGCCGTTCAGCTGCAGAGAGCGAATACAGCCCCGGAAGCCCTTCTGTCTGGACGCTGTGCCTCCTGAACACACGGAAACACAACGTTTTATTTTATATTTATTAAATTGGGTTTAAAAAGGGTCCAAGTTCAGCTCTCTCATTCTGGGCATCAAGGTATTTCAGTAGAAGTTGAGGCGACAGGAAAAGTCAAGCAACGAAGTCCCAGACTGTCATCCTCAGGGGACCATGAACATTTCTACCAAACTTCATAAGATAGATCTGGCAAAACATTCCACACAAAACAAAAAGGTGGCACTGGAGGTAAAGTCAGGGATCCAGAGACATCCTCTGGGAACCATGACACACACTCTGTTGGTTTCAGACCTTCTCTCTTGTGTGTCCTGATAATTCTGAGTCTATGTTTTCTGTCTCTCTGGTTTTCTCACGTCTCCTCCTCTTGTCATGTGCAGCAGATCCACGTCGCCTCTGCTCCTCCATCAGCTTTAAACTGTCAACTCTCCTCTCTTCAAATGAGATGATGAAAAAAACAGCCGAGGTGACGACAAGCTTTTTCACAGAGAAGGTGGAAATAACAGTTTCGGGGGGCATAAATTTCATCAGCTGTCTTTCTGCTTGTCTAACAGGATACGCTGCAAACTTCAACGTGTCAGCTCACGCTGCGCTCAGCGTCGTCTAATGGTCACCGTTTGTTCGCTCGGATTCAACATGACACCCTCTTATTTCTGCAGTGATCACAGACTGAAGCTCATCGTGCTCGGAGCGGCGTTTGGCTCCGAGTGTGTGAAGCTGACAACTTCCTATTGTACAGCAGCAGCGTTTCACACCGATAAATCACTGAGCTCAGTTAAGGCCTCGTCTCTCAGGGCTGATATGACTCATTAACTATTGAAACAACTAAGCAACGGAGGATATGAAACTTGTCTAAATATTTCCTCTGAGGGAGAAAGAGTCATTTTCATCCTCATCACGTCTCCTGACAATCATCATTCAACATTCAGATCTTAAGACTTCTGATTAGTGACACACTGACACACCTCACATACACTCGTTAACCTGTTCTCGTTATAGCACAGCTAGCATGTTTTATAATCACAGCGAGTCAAACCCAGTAGTTACACCCTGCCTGTGCATGGAGTGAATAAAGCTCAGTAAATAACAAATAAGGCCACTGAAAAGCATCCAAACACACTCGTTGTGCAGGAGCAGATTTATTCAGAAACTAGAATTGTCGAAGTTGACGAATTGGCAAACTCGAGGCGTTCGTAAGACAAAACGTTCACGAGGCAAAAAAGGGATTCGTGTGGTCACAGCGATCTGGACTTTTGATCTCAGTCCACAAAATGTTCCAAACACATCTCAAGTCTAAAAGTTTCCTCAAATGAAGAAAAAGTTCAACACAAGAGCAGATTTGTATATTTAGATTTCTAGTCATTTGTTTTAATTTGTGTCTGTGAGTATTGGTAAAACACTACACTTCATAAACACTACAAATATTACTATTATTATTATTATTTATTAATATTTGTATTATTATTAGTAGTAGTAGTATTATATAGACTGTATGGCCTAATGCACCAAGTTCAAATATCAGCTTTAAGAAACAACAAATATTCAGCTTCAGTTGCTGAACCGTTCTTTGTGAATAAATAGAAATAAAAATATGAAGAATTATTATCCTGAAACCGAATTATTATTTTCAGATCATGTTACTGAACTGTGGAGGATCAAGCTGCAGAATCGACTGATAATATATATATTTATATATATATATATATATAATCCAGGGACACGTGACGCAAACAGCAGGAGGAATCTTGAAAATCCTTGTACAAGCATGTGCTTTAGTCCCAGAGACAGAAGAACAAACTGTGTCTGAATCGACTGTGACGCAGCACAAACACACAAAGGATTAAACATCCAAACAAGGCAAAACAAAAGATGATAAACCTTCACAGAAGAAGTCGTTTCTGCTTCATCGCACTCAAAACTGCTGCGTGTGGAGTTTCTCAGCATCTCCACTACAAACAATGCAGGAAGGAGAGAATGAACAATGCTGTGGATTAGAAAGTAATTAATCTAAACAATGGAGTTCAGCTCCTTATAAAGCAAGGCAGGATTATCACTCATATACAGTGTAGATATATGGCGTCTGACTATACAGAGCAACACAGCATCTTCTAATTCAAACACCGGAGCAGTTTTCCTTACAAATCAAGACTAATAAATACAATGCCTGCGTTGAGAGGGTTTATGAATTTAAACAAGCCGAGAGCCGTTAATCCAAATAAATCAATATTTCACATACAGGCAGCTTTGTGTGCTCATGAATTAATGATACATTCATAATCCTGCAACAACCGCATGTAAAGGCCCGAACAAAGAAATGAAAACATTGCTTAAGCACTGTTTTACAAGTCACAAGTAGAAATACACAGCCTGTGAAAAACGGTTCAATTATTTCTTCTGTGGTTCTGGAAGGACAGCAGCCGTGACTCTCGTGTTGGGTTTTAAAAGACAGATTTATAATAATACTAATAATAATTTTAAACTCAAAACACAGCTACAAGTTAGAAATGACAAAATTAATTAAAAACTGGGGGAGGGGAGTTTATTTATCTCCCAGTAAAGGATGAATGAAAGAGTTTGTCTTTCATATATGAAGACTTAACTAGTGTTTTATTGTTGATTGCTACTTTTAGTGACGACTTCCAGGATCCTTTTTTTTCAGCACAGGTTGGTTCAAATATTCATTGGAACCCTTATTTGCAATTAAATTACAAATTGGTTTATTCAAGCAAAACCAGGGTCGTCGGTGCTCCTTAATTATCCCTGTGTTCGTGGTTCGCTCACATGGTGTAACGGCACCTTATTTGCAGATTAACCTGAAGCCCGGTGGCTTCTTCCAGGGTTCAGCGTCCCATTCACAAACACTATAAAAAAGCGAGGGACGCATCCGCTGTTACAGGGATCAAACCTGTGAATAGGTTTTCGGTTTCTGCACAAACGTGAACCTCAGTGCTGCTGATGTCACAGCTCTCCTCCAGAGCCAGTCCATACCGGCACATTTCCAATCTAACACACAGAATAAATCCATTAGTACACTGTGCTGATAATTCCGAGGTAAATATATATACAAGGTTCAGGCTGACGGTCACGACCTGCTGGCTACTTACAGCGGATTATAAGATAAACACATTCATCCAATCAATATTCACCTCGGTGTCCCTTCAGCTGCCTTCGTCCAATCTCATCACTGTTGTTTTGTTTCCCTCCGCACTGTGTTTACTGATATGAAGTGACGCACATTATATTTACAGAATCAGAAATCCTGATCAGAACCGATGGATTTTCATTATGTTTTTCCTGCTGCAGATTCTCACACAGACTCTGATTTTAAATAGAGAATCAACTTCAGCAGAAGTTGAAGCTGATATAGACGAAGGAGCCGCTCTGATGACGTAGCTGTTGATATTCTCCTCGTCAGTGTGACTGCTAATTAATCACTTACAGGTTCATCTGCAGATCATCTGTATATATAACACCACTGCTCCCTGCTGCATGTTTATTTATCCAATGTCATCACAAATCATCGACTCAGCACTTTTATATCCAGCAGCGTCGAGCCAACAGCTGTTTAAGAATATTTCTCTTTTTCAGAGCAGGATTGTGAGAAGAGGTCAGACCTCCGAGCGTCGCGGGACTCGGATCAGACTACCGGGAGTTTATGCTGAAGGCTCGACGAGCAGACTCAGCGGCTTTTATATCCAATATCGCTGAGAAGACAACAGGATTTAGCCAAAAGGAGATTTAGAGGAAAATAAAGAATATTTTTAGCCCTTTTCTTCTGAGGATTTAATCACAGCCAGAAACAGAATCGTTTCCAATAATAACCCGATTAAAAAACGTGAAAACATTATTTTCTGATTACCTTAACCTGATTATATATCGGGAAAAATCTTGTATGTATAATTTTTTACTCTCCATTTCTTCTATCCTTAATTATGTGCTTCTGAATCTACAGCCACGCTTATAACACATTTATCAGATTATGACCTCCATTCGTAAAATGTCTTCTTTTTTTTTCAGTTTTTTGTCCGTGAGGTCAAACAGATACATGAATAATTCTGGGCCTCGGAGGGAGACGCAGATTTCTCGATGAACTGCTTTAACAGCAGAGGAAGCACAAACAGCTCTGAACAGTCCAGGGTTTCGTGCAGCGGCAGATAATGTGATCAAAAACAAAATTGGACTGAAGAGGTGAAAGTTGTGGAACCGAGCTGCTCTATCTGTTCTGTGTCTGCTGAAGAAGTGTGTGTGTGTGTGTGAGATACAGAAGAACTCTGCTACTAACGAGGCCAACGTTCACTGTCCTCGTGTTTTTCCTCCTCACCTATGAACAGCTGGCTGTTGAGCTGCAGGTGGAAGTGTCCGTCAGCCGGAGCCTCCTGCGCGGCGGCGGGAAGCTCGTCCAATCGAAGCGTCGCCTCCTTGACGTTCCGCTCGGCTCGGACCCGATGCCACCTGTTGTCGTTCAGAGAGACGTTCGACTCCACGAGAACGTCCAGCGGCCCGTTACCGACGTCGAAGGAGAAAACCACCTCGGTGGAGGCTGACGAGACAAGAAGAAGGGTTTTTACCGAAAGCAGAGGAAATGTTTGTTTCAGTGAAGTCATGTAGAGACTCAGAGTTTAAGCAGAATTATAGAGATTATTAAAAAAATTCTTCTGACGCATAAGATCATCAACGTCTTTATCACAAGGTGCCAGTGACTTTGTTCTGAGGGTGGGCGGGATGGAAATAAAATCTTTTATCCTAGTAACTCAAATCTTCCATTGTCGTAATAATAAGTTTCAACAATGTATTTCGTAGCAAATCAATTAAGGAAGTGTTTATGGAAGCAGCTGGGAGTGCTTTAGGTTAATAACACAATCCAAGAAACAATACAGTGAGCAATTAGGCCCAGTGATCAACAATAACTGCTCACAATGGTACAATACACACAGTATGGATCATCCTATCGCTGGGGCCCGATGGGACGCGGAGGAGCTGAACAGTCGAGCCCACATTTTCAAAATCTCTCGCCTCTCAAAGAGCTCTGCTCTGCTCACACAATCCCTCTCATGTTCTTTTCAAACGGAGAGGATCTCGGAGAGTGTCTCTGAAACAAATCCTCTTTTTTCCTGTTTTTGGAAGGAGGGGATGCGTTTCTCTGGAAGCGGAGAACAAGATTAAACGAACCTCAAGGCTTCCGACAGTAACTTCGTTTGGAAATTGTTCTCAGGACCGGCTGTGGCGTTACAAGAGCGATCTGAGGCAGCTGCCAGCAGAGCAGCAGTATTCAAAGCTGGAACAACCACGCTGACAGTGATTTCCCTGAGGACGGAGGCTGTTGCTGCTGCAGTGTCCCTGAGTTAGATTCTGTGTGTGTCCCTTCAAATCTCATCTATAAGCAAATGCACAGTGAGGCACAAAAATAGCAAATGGAATTTGATGAAACAGACTCATTGAGCTTCAGAAAACAACTGATTTCAACACCAGATTCACGACTTTCCACACATGTCAGCTTATAAATGTGCAGCTCATTGTTCACTGCATCAAAGTCCAAACCATAAAGACAGAGAGAGCGGCCCGGGGGATATTTATTCCATAATTTAAATGACACCACAGCACAGAGGGATGTAAATGTAAAACAAAACGTAAACACCTACGCAGCCACAACACTGTGGAGCCAATAAAGTCAAATAATGCCCTCTGGGTTACCGATGTCATATTGTAAATGACACACACACCGCGGACGATAGCGAGGAGGTGAAGCAGAGCGAGAGCAACATCTGAAATAGAAGAGTTTAAGGCTCGTAATGTTACTGGAAGTTTCCTTCTCTTTACTTGTTGTCAGTGAGGAGCTGTTTAAACTGGACAAAATAAAAAGGAAACACCAAGAAACTTCCAGCTTTTCTCTCTGGTCTGTGATCAAAGAACAGACGTAAGAAAATCTGCCCAACGCTGCATTTTTATCAGGATTGCGCAAAACTATGAGATAGAAAATTGGCGGAAGGACGAAGCATGGGTCAGGGAAAAGAGAGTAAATTGTATTAATCATATTAATCATCATGCCAGAGAGAAGCTGTTTAGAGGTTAGATGGTTCCATAATGTACGAAAGAGCTGAACGGCCGTGGATATGAAAAACAACCCCCCAAGTGTCTTTTGAATGAGATGTTACATTTGGGTAATGTTTCGGTGTCAGGTGCAGATCTGTGCAGTTAAACTTTATGTGGCACTTAAAGCAGAGTCAGGAAGGTCAAGACAACTTAGTTCAACCAAAGTACAATAAACAATATTCTCCCTGCAGAGCAGAATTATACAGATTATGTCTGAAACCTCCGAGTTTCACAGTAATCCAGATTAAATCGTCACCCTCGAGCGTCCACTTACACCTCAGCTCGATGCGGATGAAGTCTTTGATGCCCAGGTTTTCCAGGAACACACCCGAGGAGGCCGTGGTTTTAAACAGGAAGGAGATGTCGGCGCTCAGCTCTCCGTGGAAGGTGGGAAAGTGGAGGTACGACGTCTCCTTGTCGAAAAACGCAGCGTTCCAGAAATTCTCTGAAAGACACAGTCGAGAGATTAAAATGGGAACCACGTAGGAAACAAATGAGCCGACGTGTTGAGCTAATGAGCGTACACAAGGGTATGATTTCTGTTAAAGGCTCTTGTTTGATTGATCATGACAAACATGTATTTATCCATCTACTTGGGTAGAAATAAATGGCTGTAATTACAATTAAATGAAATAAGGAAAAGCAGCATGCAAATCTGATTCACTCAGATTTGCGTGAATGCATTTAATGAGAGGCAAGTATTACAGTGTGAAATCTTAAAAAGGAAATGTGCATTAGAAACAGTTCTGCTGATGATAATAAGCCTCTAGATATGGAGATAAGCTCCCCAGAAGGATCCATTCATCACGTAATTGTCAGGTGGAATAAGAAATTAAAGTTAAAATTAAACAACAGACCTGAGAGAATTTATTTCTCCGAAATAACAAGTTATTATTTATTTGCTGCTGAGTGTGAATCTACGTTTTGTCGGTTTGAGCTTTTGTTGACAAAGTATTTTCCATCACATAAAGGTTTCTATGTATTGAGTGTAACCATGGCAACCAGAGCTGGACTTACTGTCTCCTTGACAACGGAGCGGTCCCACCCTGTACGCCGCTTCTGACCCCGCCCTCTGGATGTCACCCAGCGCCAGAGACCTGACTGGGAGACTCTCCTTATGGGTGATCAGGCCCGAGTCTTCAGCCCTGCAGGAGGAGGAAGAGGAGGAGGGAGGAAGAGATGAAGGAGAAGAACAAGGGGATGATGTTATAAGGAAGATGGAGAGAAAAACAAAAAAAAAAAGGATGGAGAAAGTAAAAGACAGAAAAAGGTCAAGAAAGAGGGGGCAACAGAGAAAAGAGATGACGGAAGGAGGAGGAGGAATAGGAGGTGATGATGGGGGGTTGAAGAGAGGAAAAAGGGAGATGAGGTGATGATAAAGAAAGGTAAGAAGTAGAGAGTGGGAAGAGAGAAATAAGGAAAAGGAGGAGAAAGAATAGAAGGTAAAGAGATCATGAAGGACAAAAGAGGAAGGAGAAGAAAGCGAGAAGGAGAAGAATGAAAGAGATGTGAAGAGAAGACAAGTTGACGGAGGGAGCAATGTGAGAAAGGAGAAAGGGGGAATGAGAGGTAAGAAGAAGAAGAAGGGTAAGAAAGGAGAAGGAGAAATGAGGAAGAAAGAGATTCAGAAAACAGAAGAGGCATAGGCAGAGGAGGATGAAGCAGAAGGTGAGGAGGAGGAGGAGGAGGAGGAGGAATACGAGGACATGTAAGAGTGGAGGATGGAGAAGAATGAAAAAGTACAGAGGAGGAAGTGTAAAGAAGGAGAAATATTAAAAGAGGATATATTGTAAGAGATGAAATGAAAGAGGAGAAAATATAAAAGAAGTGACAGAAGTAGGAGGAGAAGGGAATAACTCAGTTTTAGTATAAACAACTTTTTATTGGTTTGACAACCAACATAAATTCTTATAATTAGGTGAATCTGTCACTGTAACATTCCTCCACAGGTGAATGTGCAAAGAATGTTCCTCCTCGTTTTATTAGTTTGTGCATCTGAAAGTAAAAAGAGATTTATTTGACACAACTTAATCTACAGCTCCACAGAACGACCCTGAGTCAGGAGCTTTACTTTACGGGCACATCCGGCTCAAACTGACCTATGGATAGTTTCAGACCGAGGGAGTTGAGAGAGTGTGAAACAAAAGAGTTACAGGATTGTTTGTAGTCAATCCAGTAACCGAGCTGACCAGACACTGACGTTAGTCGCCCGATGAATGTCAAGTGTAGGTCGACGCAGCCTAAATCTTTTTTAGTGCGCTCCCTAAATTACAAAGTGAAAACCAAAACTGACCAGATCACATGAAGCGATGGAACAAACACTTGGTTCAGACTCTCAGGTGTGAAAGCGTCATTAAACTCATCTGCTTGTTTTCAGCAGCAATCGTCTGTCGTTTGTTTCTCTTCAGTCGCTGCTGCATTTATTACTGCAGTTTATTTCTTATTATTTCTTATATTCAGCCTCTGCATCAAAGTTTCATTAATTCTCTGTGAAAACGCTGCAGCTAAATACAAATAAACAAAAAATGAGTAAAAACAGAGGGTGAAAGACGACTGTGCTGTGAGGTGAAGCAGTTTCTCTAATCTACCTGAATACATTGAAGTAACATACGAGCATGAATGCGTGGTCATTTATAAAGGGCCATACCACTCCAGGCGGTCGGCGTCACAGTTGCAGTAGTGTTGGGGGTCCACACAGTCGCCCTGCAGGCCGCAGGCGCACTGCTGGCTGCCTGGTTGAGCTCCGCCCCAGTATGCCTGGAGAAGGCCGGAGCCGGGACCGCCGAGCCACCAGCTGAACGGAGAGCCCTCTGAAACACACACACAAGCAAAGACTCACTTCTTTGTACACGTTGAACAAGTTTAACCTCAGAAAACCTTTTATCTTGTTCATGCTGCTGCGACCTGGAGGGAATCGAGGGGAATCTGGGACTGATCGAGTCGAACAAAGGACGGCGAGGGCCGGTTGATAACTGAAGTTCTGTGAGATCCTGTTTCGGGAAACAAAGTGTGCGGTCCTGCATCTTGACAATAGATTAAAAATCTGTAACATCTGTCGTTATGTCTGCGGCAGATGTAACCTGAGCTTATTATAACACTCCTACATATATATTGTCATGCAGTGTGTTCTGTCAAGAGACGTCTCATTGTTTCCTTTAGAGTTAAGCCTAAAATCCAGGGTCGAAAACTCTGTTAAACTGACCTAAACCACATCTTCAGCTCTTTCTGGATTATTAAATAGTCCTGCAGGACAAACATTCCCAGTTTCTCTGTTTCTTAACTGCTGCATCTACAACTGTTCGCTTAACTGGAAAAAAAATGAGGTTGTAAAAAAAAAAAAAAAAAGAAGAAAATAAAATAAAATAAAAGCAGAGCAGCAAAAAGTTATGATGGATGCAGATCATTTTTTTAATGGTCCACACTCTGTGAGACCACAGAACTGCAGCCTCTTGCATCGGCTCATAATCGACTTGGATGCTCACGGTACATAAAATTGTAAAAGTTGTATCTCTATGGTAAAACTTTATGCCGTGGCCCCGAGGGAAACTGGGGCGGCAAGACAATATCTGAGAGCTGTAGAAAGTCCCCTCAACCTCCCAAGATGAATCCAGTGAAGTAGAGGGATGTTTTCCAGCTCCTACCCCGAACACTGAATATATTATTTTGGTTGGAGGGCGATGATGGTGTGTAGTCGGAAAATGTATTTCACATGCTCTGTGTGTGTGTGTGTGTGTGTGTGTGTGTGTGTGCATGGAGAGGATGGAGAAAAGGTGATTGGAAAGGTCTCTGTTGACTCAGCGCTTCTTTATTTTCTCACAGAGCAGCAGAGTTTATAATGGAAATTCTATATATTTCTACCCATTCTACCTTTCCTGACACTTTCACCACTTTCATCCATCATTCTATACCCCCTCCCCCTCCCCCCTCAAACTAAAAAGATTGTTTTATCTCTCATGTATCTCTCATATACACGAGTTAGAAACTTCACTGCTACCGAGGAAAATTCAATGCAACTTGCGGATCAAAATGATTTCCTCAACACCTGTGATTCGATAAAAGCTCAATAAAGACAAGAAAACACTCAACAATCGTTCCAGAAAGAGGAGGAATCAAACAAATCCTTAACAACTGATTCGTCAGAATCCTGAGTGAAAGTTTGAGGCACAGGGAGAACTGATTTTATTCCTTTTGACTGAGAAGAACCAAACTTTCATCAACTTTTATTTCATCCAACAAGTCAATCAAGAACACGCCCGTGTTAGTATTTTCCTATGTTAAGTGGACACTTGAGGGGCTTTAAGGAACAGGGGCAGAAATGAAATGCTGCAGGGCTGTTTCCCTGAGATAAGATTATAAAAGATTAAAAGATTAATAGGATTAAGTTTAGATTAGATTGAAAAGTGAGATCTGCTTTTGAATTGTTAAGTATAATTACAAACTCAAAAATAAAAAGTCTAACTTTGACTCCAGCAGAGAGGAGGATTTAAATTCATCAGAGTTTCAGGGTGTTTTTTATTCTGTGCATGTTTTCACAGGCACTGACTGACAACATGAATCAATAAAGAATAAAACAACTCATTCGCTGGCTGCGTTTATCTCATCTGGCTGAGAACAAACCAGATCTCAGATGTGAAGCCAAACATTGACCAACAGATTTAACATTAAAAAAAAACAAACATGTCCCTCACCTGGGGTGTTCAGGAGGCGGGACTTCCTGCAGCGGTAGGACAGCTCCTGTTCGCAGTGCTGTGATTGGCTGATGACGGCCGACAGTTGCTCCTCGTGCGACGAGTAGTCGAAGTGGACTAAATGCTGGTTCTCGTCTGGAGAGGGTCGGACTCTGGTCAGCTCTGTGTTGTTGTGTTGGATCACCATCCATGTGTCTTCCTCTGGGGAATAGATCGACACGACTGATATGAATAATCTGTACATTTTATAAATATTGATCTTGTGTTTTCGGTGAAAATGAAACAGTTTCCTGTGAAATTTGAACTTCGGGGGTTCTGGACACTTGGATGACGCCACAGGAGCAGAAAGGAGAAAACAATTCACACGAGATGAAAAGAGAAGATCAGCAGACGGGGAATGAGGATGTTTGTCATCATAATTCACATTTATATGATTATTCAAATGACATGAAGAATTGAGACGTGAGAAGACGGAGCCACTGAGGTGGAGGAGAGCAGGAAAAAAAAAAAGGTGGGTGGAGGATAAGATGGATCAGAGCGTCATCATTTACGATTATGTAAATGTTCGTCGTACAGAACTTTGAGTGATGATGGGAGGATGAAGGAGAGAGAGAGAGAGAGAGAGAGAGAGTCACCTGTCATGTTGCAGTAGACCAGCTGTGGTTTGATTGATCCGCTGCCGTCCACGTCGATGTAGAAATGACCCGACGTGTTGCCGTTGTGTTTGTACGCCTCGCACGACTGCTCGTACACAGCTGTGAGGAAAAAACAACAACGAGACGCATCACGTCAACAACAAAACACACATCGGCTGATACGCAGGAGCTGTGAGGGGATGATCGCACAGTGGAGGATTATGGGGGTTTCTGTCTGTGTCACCGCTGAATCACAACCAGAGAAAATCCTCAGGTTTTATTTTTACAGCAGCGTCACAGAAAGATCGGTCCAGCTGACGGGGACAGCTCCTGTGTCAGCCAGTTGGGTGTAAATGTTGTCAACCACCCGTGTTCGCTCGGGAATGTGTCAAAGTAGACGGTAAATATATGTTTTTTATACAAAGTTTGTTCAAGTTGTTCATGTTTCCAGTAAAATTGGTTTTAATTAGTGATAAGATGATATAAAAACATGCTGAGACGTCATGATTGGACAACGATGTTCGTATCCAGGATATCTCGATTTCATTTCTGGTTAGTGGGATGAAGTGAAGACACGTCCTTCGTTTTTATTAAGCCTGCGCTCTTGACAAATCTTCCTCTTGCTCCTCCAGTCCCAAACATACACAGACATATACACACACACACACACACACACAAGTGCTTCCTCTGCAGTCATATAAGTCAAATCCATATCTTAAGGTTCCCACTCTCCGCTCACCTGCTTATCTCTCCTCCTCTCCGCAGCTAAAGACCTTTTATTCACCACATGGCCTCAGTGTGGTTACAGCAATAAAAATGAGACCAGAGCAGAGGTGAAGTGTGCAGGGCTCAAGGTTTCAGCTCGAAGGCAACTGGAACAGAGCGAGTAAACCTCGCCCACTGTTTCACCTCGCTGTTACACTTCCATTTATTTACTCCACATTTGGCAGACAGACTCATTAACCTCCATCACATCACTCAGGAATAACAAACAGATTCTATTTAAATGTTGGTTATGGTTTTTTTTAAAGTCCGAGTCTTGTTTTTTATTGTTTTGGTTTTGAGAACATGGAAGTCACAGAGACAATAAATATTATTTTCTAACCTATTCTCTTTTAGAACTACAGGATAGAAACAATAGCTAATGGCTGCAACTTTACTTTACTATACAGTATTACTTATTCTGACACTCGGTGTCTCGGTGGACTCGTTCTTCATCTGTCTCGAGCTCATATCTCTCTCTTAGTGTTCCGTGGTCATGTGGTGACGTCTGTCTGACTTACAGCTGTGGCAGGTCGCGCCGCTGTAGCCGCTGTCCGAGCAGTTACAGTGGAAGATGGTCCAGGACTGACTGCAGTGGCCGCCATGTTCACAACGACTGGGAGAACACCTGAGACAGAGACAGGGAGGGAGAGAGGGAGAGAGGGAGAGAGGGGGAGAGATTGTCGTCAAAGTTTGACATTGTGGAATTCTCATAGACCTGCTGTCAACAAACTTGCTTAGTTGCGTTATTAAATTTGATTAATTGGCTAAATCTTTGTCGTGACACTAGAACATGAGAAAGAAAAGTGGCTGATGAGAAAGTCACTGTTTCTGCTGTTTACAAAGAATCCCAAACTTTCCTCTGTTAATTATAATGTTCATCTATTTGCTGTTGCCCCAGTAACACGGGGGAAACCTCTCACCTTTCAAACTCTCAACCCTTCAAAGGGAGAAAAACTGCTTCATTAAACTTAACAGCCTTTTTATGAAATGCAGCTTTAATTTTCACCCCGCACTTTCATCTCGTCTCGTCTGGATTATTGTAATTTTCTGTGCCAAAAGGCCGTCTCCCGTCCTCAGCTTGTTAAAAACTCTGCTGCCAGACTTGTAACATTTTACGAGACAGAATTACATCACTCACATCCTTGGCGTCCTTGACGCTGCATTGACTGGCTACCTGTCGGATTTTAAACTTTCACTAATTACTTTTAAATCCCTACATGGACTTGCTCTGACTTACATCATAGATTCACTTGCACCCTACGATCCTCACTGCTCTTCCCACAGGCTGCCTTGGTACACATGCACGCACGCACACGCACATGCACACGCACACACAGTCATGCCAGAGTGAATGACGCATGTAATTGAGCAGCGAAGGTGACACAGTTTGAAGCGGATGTAAAGGCAACATAAATGAGCCTTTATTCAAAAATGACTTAATGGAATTCCATGAAACAAAACAAAGCTTTCTTTAATATTTCATGATTTTTTCTTGATGAAGAAAAATGATTTGACTTTTAATCAACAGTGCAGATTAGGATTTCTTGATCTACATCGGTTTGTTGGCTTCGCTTAAAGGATCGACTGAATTTCAAGAGGACTGTTGGTGCCAGTTATCTGCATTTTTGCTGTTTTTATCTTGGCTGTGTGTATTAATAAAAAGCTTTGTGTAGGTTTGTCATATATTAATATTCTGTAGTATTGTTATTTGATAATGTAAAAGCTTGTTAGCCGAGGCGCTTGAAGGTCATCTCTTTAACGTCCACTGAATATGCTGCTAAATACAAGATAAGATGTGAATAAATAACGTTGTTGTAGGTTTGAGGAAAAAAAAACATTTTTCTGCCTTTCAACTGAAAGATGACAAGAATACCTTTCTCCCCCCCTCAGAGAGATGAAAAGAATAATTTCATTACTTCACAGATTTCTCTCTTTAGATTTTTCTTTCATTTCACATAAAAGGTGAAGTTTTCTTCTGAACAGAGAGGATCCTCACTTCTGCCAGACTGTTTGAAGAAGTTCTTTAAATGAATCCAGCTCACAATGAATCTCTCCGTGTGAATTTACAGTTGATTTATAGTTGAATATCGCACTGCCGTGACCGCCATGACATCACTCCAGTTTACAGGAGGCGGGAGGGAACGGAGAGAGGGAGGTGTATGGATTATGAAAACACATGAGACATTATGTTGACTGTGGAAATGAAATCAGTAAACTGTGACAGAGAGAGAGCACAAGACGTTGTGTTCTAATGTACATGTATAATGCACATGCATATAGGAAAACAGAGGCGCCAGGGTCAGAGGGAACCAAGGGAAAATGCCTATGAAATGAAAAATTAATTGAGAATACGCATTCAAATTCACGAGCATCTATTTATCCGCCTCAGCGTGCTCGCACCCCGCTGTCAGATACACATGTACGACTGTGACTCCAATCCCCGATAGGTCCACTGCACGGCCACTGTGGGAGATTCATGAAAGCCAATAAAAAAGTGATTTCTTTTTCAATAAATACTGAGTGGTTTATTAGAGAGCAAGCATGTGCAGCAGGGAGAAGACAATCTCGACACTTTGGTAGCAGTCGGAGAATACGGTAAAGAATCGAGTTGTACAATTAATTATCTCACAAACAAAAGCTCCACCGATGAGACTGGAGGCAACTATACATCTATACTGTAATGTTCTGATAACCACACAGACGTACACATAGAGAAAATGTCTCATTTAAACACATGTGACAGTGAGTGAGCGAATGTTTTGCCCAAACTCAGGCAGTAACACTGAGTAAAAAAAAAAGATGACTGTACAGAATATGCAGTCTTCCTTTTATTGAGATAAAAGCCATGACTCAGCAGCTTGTCAGCCTGCGACAGTGTGAGTTCAACCTCTACATCTCCACACGGCTTTAATCTAAGAGCAGGAGCCACATGAAGCACTGAACTCACATTCACGTTACCTCACTTCTCCACTCTTTTGTTTTCTATATTTAGTGTTTGTGTGACTCGGCTATAGACAGACAATCAAATTCTGTGTCAGTAGTGTTTTATACAGCAAATGTCTAATGTCTGTTTATAGAACATCTGTATTTCTGTAGGTCTTTATTGTGGATTGATGAATTGCAGAGTAAGATGTAACTCTCAATACCAGGATGGCCGAGAGGTTAAGGCGTTGGACTTAAGATCCAATGGGCAAATGCCCGCGTGGGTTCGACCCCCACTCCTGGTATCTTGTTTTACCTTCACAAACTCAGTATTTAATCCTCAGGCTCTAACAGGCTTCCAGATTCACCCTGGAAGGCTTTAAGTTAGGTTGGGCTGCGATGACACGTCTCTCTCTCTCTCTCTCCCTCTCTGTGACAGTTTTGCTGTTAGACAAACTGTGTTCCTTGAATAGATGAGCTTCCAGGCAGTAGAAGAAGAAAGATGTTTCTATCTGTCGTTGCAGAGGAAACATAATTTTCTGGAAATGGCGCAAGTTGACTTTTTGACCAAAGTGCTTGGACACTGAATGCAGACTGAAGTTTCAGAATGTTTTTAGGTCTCAATGCGTTCAGCCTGCACACCCACACAGATGTACACGCCTACTCTAAGGAAAGAAAAGCATATGGAAGCTAAGACTATAACTCCATCTTCCTTTAAACTTTATATCCCATGATCCCTAAATCTAATTACAGCACAGTGAAAGCTGTGATTTTTTTCTTATCCTGCTCCCGTGAGTCGTCAGATCTGTGCAGGAGCTGAATTCTGCTGAATAATAATCTGATAAAAGATGAACCAGGAAGATATTTAATTAAACCCACTGAGGCAAATTCTCCCTCTCTGGTGAGACTGTGTGGCAGCTTTGTGCAGCCATGTTCACATGTATGTGTATAAGAGTGTGACTGCTGGTTGTTTCCGAAAGGGAGAGCTTATAATTGTTGAAAATGTTCCTGTATTTGGAATATTACAACCATGTCACCAGGATGGACCAATGTTACACAGTATCCGTGTCCCAAAAAGTCGTGGGCTCGTTAACTACCCCAACGAGAATTCCTGGCAGCAGTACAACAACCCAAGTGGTTGTTCGAATCACAACCAGCTGATTAAATGAAATCATCAGGATGGCCGAGTGGTTAAGGCGTTGCACTCAAGATGCAATGGACAGAAGTCCTCCTGGTATGAATTAACTTTAAAAGGCAAGGAGCTAATATACTTGGCCTCATGTCCAACAAATACACAAAAAAGGCAACCAGAAAAATGGATATATCCATCAAGGCTTATACTTGGACAGTGTCAAAGAAAGTAAAACAGAAAAACATCTTCTTACCTTGTGAGGTCAGATGTTTGACCTTTAACCTTTTACCGGGCCTTTAATGAAAATGATTAGCAGAGGAATTTGGCTTGAGGTCACATCAGCAGAGATGGCATTTGGTTTAATGGTAGACGACTAGTTTTTGTGATTCTGACCTGTCGATGATGCCGCACATGTCGATCTGCAAGTGGCTGTAGTTTCCCAGCAGTCTTTGCTGCACCAGGATCAGGTCCACTGGCAGGTTGTCCACAGAGAGGAGGCGCATGCAGCCCTGGAAGATGTCGAAGGGGTTTCTACACTCCTGATTGTCGTCGTCAGCGGGACAACCTGGATGAGGTCGGATGAAGAGCAAGACAGATAAGGGGACAACAGTGAGGACAGTGACATCACAGCAACGATCCAATCAAAGAGAAGCCAACAGCAATTTACTCAAAATAGATTATGGTACAAGAAGCTGAAGACAAAATTCTTAGTTTCAACTTAATGCTTCAAAAACCACAATTCATTTAAATGTATTATTGACACAAATGGATGATATTGAACTGCATTTCTACAGAGCTGTGTAGTCTGTGGAGCCCTCAAAGTGCTTTCACATTCATACACTGATGATGCAGCATCTGAGGCCTCCTCCATGTCAGCAGATGGGACATGGACCAAACACACGTCTTTTTAAGAGGATGTCATCAAACTGATGTTTATTCAATCTTTGTTTAATTAGTTATTTCATGCTATAAAAACGTGTGCATGTGAATGGTGAAACCTCGATACTGGGGCTCCATTTCCTTATCGCCACTACATGGACTCATTGACGCAAGCGTTCGTGTATGAGATATTTTGTCTTGATTTCTGGATAGAGTGAGGAAGTGGAGCTGTGTCGTCCATCTTTATTCACAGTCTATGGTGAATGAATAAAAGAGTAGTATGGATGTGAAACTGTAGTAAATGTGTTTTACTGCACAGAGAGCTGAGCAGTGATGGATTGTGTTTTTTCAAGTGTCTGGAATCATGAAAATGTAGGTCAGACCTTGATCAAATCCCTTTGTAGTCGATTTAACGGTGTAAGAGGAGAGCATGAGTGTGCATTTGTGTAAGTGTGAACGTGCCGGATGACAAAGAGCCTCCAGCAGTAAAAGAACAGCCCTAGATTGAAAAACTGCAGAGTGGAGAGAAAACAAAAGAGAGAGGAGACTCAAGAAGAAAAAGCAGGGGGGGGGGGGGGGGACAAGACAACAAGGCTCATTTAAACCACAAGAGTCAGTCGTCCAAAGCAGAGATCTTCAGCTCTTACCACCAAAGAAGAGTTGATGTCTTACGCTGACAGGAAATGAGGGGCTGGCGTGAGCAACACCTCCTTCTCCGTCATCCACAGTGACGGTCAGACGTCCTCGTCCTGAGGTTAAATCCACTGAATGCCACTGACCATCGTTCAGAGCCGAACCTGAGGGACGTCCAGAAATATTACAATATATTGCTGACATTACTCATTCATGAAGTATTTTTTTAAAGCAGACATATTGATCGTATTTAATGCAGATTTGCTTTTAAATGTTGTTTTACTTTTAAGACACTGAGATGAGTTTCAGTTTCTAAGTTGTTAGACTGACCTGCACTGAGCTCCAGCAGCGCCCTGCCAGCCTTCTGGACCTGCAGCCGCAGTCTGGCGTCACTCAGGTGCAGCCAGACCACTCCTCCTTCGTGAGGGAGTTCAAAGGTGAGCAGAAGCCCCGCCTTGTTCCACGTCCTGAACTGGAACCCCACGGACACGCCTCCTAAAGCGGATGCCATTGCCCCCGGCAACTGGAGGAAGCTCTGGGGGCCGGGAAACGTCACGGAGACGGAAACTGGCTCAGCACAAGAAAAGGTCACATTGCCCTGAGATGGAGAGATGCAGAGAGGAGTGAGAGGAGTGAGAGGAGTGAGAGGACCTGCGACAGGAAAAATTATGACTAAAGAGTTAAAGCAACATAAAACATGAATATTAATCAGTCGCAGAGGGCGTGTGGATGCGACCTCATGTCACCATGATCTCATCAGCAAGTCTCCTTGAGAATAAAAGCCATGAATTCAAACTGAGAAGACCAATGTCACCCGGCTCAGAGGAGTGGAGGGGCGGATATTTATGTGAACAGGACTATATAGACATTTCCGTTGCGGTCCATTGTTTTGAGTGGTGGTAATGACACCGGGTCCATTGCTGAAGCTGCAGCAGTAATATATTACAGTGCCGGCTCTCTGCTGGGAATATCAGCCTGCTATCTTTATAATGCTCCTGAAACACAGATGACATCTAAAAGCCCTTTGTAGAGCTGTTAAAGTGATATATGAAAGTACATGGTGGAGGATGCAGCAGTACTGCAAAGTATAAAGTAAAAAGGGAGCTATAAAATCCCCCCCCAAAAAAACATTCGATCACACACATCCAAAATCCTCCACACACACCATCAGGTTCTACTTCCTTTTGTTATCAGGCCTTTGTGAATGGTCAAAGGGGTCTCTATTAAAAAGGACTATAAGCGTGTTAATCCTCTGGAACCTTAAGAGCTGCAGCGTTCTTGTAAAACAGTTTCCATTAGAGCTTCAGACAGGCATGTGACTGAACATCTTTTACCAGCGGTTCTGACTGATCATTTGTTAGAAATGGCTCAGAGCTGCTCTGCACTGAGCTCACTCAACTTCTCTCAAGGCCCTAATGACATGGAAAAAGGAAGCGTTGCTGAAATTCTAATAATCATCTACTTTCCTCTCATCACACACTGTCCTTGTTAAGAGCTGATTAGCTTCGTTAACCATATCAGCAGCTCATTAGCAGATGACCACACATGATTACCCAGTGATGGTCCAAGGATGTGAACCTGCATCTTGATGAATACTTAGATGGTGATGTGAGGGAGGGACAGGAGTTTTGAGTTTTTCACTTGATGACCATGAAATCTAATTTTAGATAAGGGTTCAAAGTATAGGAAGTGCATAATACCAGGAGTGGGATTTGAACCCACGAGGACTTGAATCCATTGCATCTTGAGTGCAACGCCTTAACCACTCGGCCATCCTGGTGATGTTGATAAGAATTCATGCATCTTCAAAAAAAAAAAACCTGCTGTATTTCGGGGAACGAACGGGGGGTGAAATCAGGTGCAGATCCAGATAAAACTCCAGACACAGTGAATTCAAATGTGGTTTTAAAAGGGGACAGTTGTGCTTAGGCGGAGGTATGAACTCTACTGAGTGACATTCCAGGTAAAAATGGTTCAGAGCTGCTCTGCACTGAGCTCGTTAATGTAAAACATCTATTAAGAATCATCTGTCCTCTCATCACACACTGTCCTCGTTAAGAGCCGATTAGCTTCATTAGCAGCTCGTTAGCAGATGACCACACGCGAACACGATGATAAAGACAATACCTTATGCTCTTAGATGGTGACGTGTAGTTATTTATGCATCAGTTACCACTGGAGAAGCTTCAGTGACTGTGTGTCATGGTGTTAGTTAGAACGTCTTGCAATAAGAAAGTCACATAAACACACCAAACAGAATGCTTTATGAGGCTGCGGTCTATATTTTAGGTGGCACAGCTCCAGCTATTGATGCTCCATTCTCTCTCAGACATAAAAGCTCGGTCCAGAGAGTCTGAGGAGCCGAACATCAAAGCTTTTTGCTTTTCCCCAAATGATTCACAAGATTTGTCATCATCACTCTGCAGAAGTTGAAAACAACTTTCTGTACCACAGAAAAAACTTATGTAGACAAGTATTTCTTCTTTGTTGCAACCCTTTGAAGATAATTGATTTCATCTTCACTACTGTTATTACGCTGACGATCATCCCGGCTCTGACCTCTTAGATCTCAAAGAGCAAAGTGGAAACAAAGTGAGAGATGTTACCGAGCTTCACTGCAAAAACATTTAAATAAAGATGCTATATAAAATACATAACACTGGAATGCACCGCTACACCAAGGTCCAACATTACAGAGCAAACAATCACGATATTGTAGTGGTGAACTCACCATGACAGTCATCTGCTGGTCGTCGTGTTTGGCTCGTTCTATCAAGTTGAGGCTGTTGTAGAGCAGGTTCTCCAGGCAGCCGTGGAAGTTCCTCTTGGACACGAGTGGTTTCTGAGAGTCGAGGCTGAGGGCCGCTCCTACGCTCAGCTGTACGGAGACATGAAAATGAAACATATCTGCAGTGTAAATGTTTATCTACAACAGTTTTCCATAGGTGTGTGAGGACAGTGTGTTGTATCTCACCTGTTCGATGTCCCAGTGGCTGAACTCCGCTGGGATTTGAACCCTCTCACTGTGATTGTCCACAGTGAGGTTGAGGTGAGCACTTTGCCACTCCACTGCCACATGATGCCAGTGCTGATCGTCTAACAGGCTGCCGAGGGAGGCAAGACGCCGGGGTTCAGGAGAGGAAGTCCCACCTGGGAGGGGGGGGTAAAGGAGGACAGGTGAAAAACAGGAGGATGAATGAAGTGAAAGATCAGACATCAGTGAATAACAAACAAAGAGGATGGATGGATGGCAGAAGAAGAGGAGGAGGCGGGAGAGAAGAGAGCAGTTTATTGAAAACTAATCACACAGTGAGAAATGTAAATTACACAGACAGACTCAGACTGTTTTAATCAACACATCAGCACCGTTTAATTTGCAAAGTCTGAACTCGACGTGAATAAAATGAGCTCGATGGGAAACTGGACGGAACAAAACTGTTTAACTTTTTATTTATTATTTTTCCGTGTTAGTCTGTGATTTTAAAATGGAGGTTTCTCTTTATTATGTATGTAACAGCAGGTAAACCTTGTGACGATGACACCTCAGTAAAGCTTTTAGATCATTTCTTCAAATTTGGTACATTTGGACTCGAGAATCAAATGATTACAATCTATTAAAGCTAAAAGTTATTTGAAAAAAGCTAAAATCGAATTAAATAAATAAATATATTCTACCTATATAATGTCATTCTAGATAGACATGGATTTAAACAACAACTTGAGTGGTTGGCAGAGGCGTTCATCGTGAAGTGGTGGTTTTAGTTGGTTATATACTTTGTTTGGTTGTTTTCCACTTTTCTATCTCGTGTTAAGGGACCAGACAGTTTGTTGTTTGTTGTCTTCTCATTGTCTGACCTGCGACTCTGCTTCCTCCTCACAGAACGACCCGGTGTCGAGGGAGCGACAGCAGAGTAACAGCAGCAACGCACCAGCCTCCGCGCTGTGTCTAAATATTTCACTTTTCTCAGGCTCCCACTGAGAGGAGCACAGATAGGTCACACTCGCTCATCTCATTAGGAACTACTGCATATCTGCATACTCGCACCGAGAGCTGAAGACAAATATGTGATGAAGCCTAATCTGAAAAAGTGCAGAAGAAGCACAGCGAGACATTATTAATGATAGATGAGTGGCAGTCGGTCCAAATATGTGGATCTATTCCCCCAAAGTACTTGGGAGAGAAACTTTGTGTTTCTGCTGAGAGAGAGGGAAGAGTAGAAAGAGCTGAATACAGTCAGTCATTAAAAATGTATCACATATTCTTCAGGGAGAAACAATCTCAGCTCCAGAGAGACAAACAGAGACAGTCTGGAGGATGATGGACAAATGCATCTTTGATATTTCAGCCAAGTTTGTGAGATGATGTTCAGTGTTTGGCGGCAACGTGGAGGAGAAAGATAATTTCCTCCTCACACACACAGAGTTAAGAAGCGAACCTCAGGAAACACGTTCATTATGATGAGTGACATGATCAGAGTCTGGACAAATGGAAAGAGAAGGTGGAATCAATACGAGAGGAACGACGGCAAGACTTAAAAATACAAAACATCACTTTACTGACATTGATTAATGGAACGTTTATTATGTTGATGGAGGTGGAAGAGACGGAGAGGACTCTATGAGTGAGCGTCACGTTGGATGGATGATTTCATTACTGCTTGACTGGAAAGAGAAAATAGGAATCGATATGAGAGGTCTGAGGGTAAACAAATAGAAGATGTCTTTATTGATATTAATATATAGAAGCATCACTGTTTTTCTGTCTCTCACGGTTTCCTCCCTTCTTGGCAGTGAAGTCATTTTTCAGTCTGGTAGAGACGAGCATCAGAGTATTTCAGGTCTCCCTCGCTGTCGTTCGCCTCCACTACACATGTGTGTGTCCAGAGTCATGAAATAAACACACTTTGAAGGGATTTAATAAAAGATATTGAGTGTGATTTGTCTCAGTTTAAATTAAATTCTCTCCTTCCTTCACTGACCTTTATCCATGAATATTTCTTACAGTTGATAACAGGTCCGTTCACCTCGTGCTTCTTCTGATCCAGAGCACAAAGTTATTTCATTTATCATTGACACAGCAGGTGTTCTGTTTAATTTGCTCAGCACAGCTCAACTTATTCTCTTATTCCACAAACGCTTAAAAAACAGGATTGTCACGATTGCAATTTCAATTTTGTAAAATATAATAATTTCTTTAGACTTTTCTATTAAATCTCTGTTCTCAGCATCTGTCATTGGTGCCTCTTATTATTTCACAATTTATAATGTTTCCATGTGAAATCCAGGTGTTTTTTCTCTTTAAGAGAATGTTACATTCTCCTCATGTCCTCGACACGGCATCACCTCATCATATCTCGTCTGCCGCTCTATAATGTCTGCTCAGAATCTGATTACGGAGAAAGTCGCTCACAGGTCTAATTAGAAACCAGGCCGGTATAATTGTTTCAGCGAGTCGCTCTCCTGAAGCTCTGTGTCTGTCACGTTCTCAGCACGAAGCAGGAGCTCTGGAATGATTCGGAACCTGGGTCACAGAGTGAAGAGGTTGTTTGAAGTTCTGCTGCCTCACAAGTTTCCTTTTGTGTTTTCACATCAGTCGCTTTCTACCACAGTAGTGGGTGTTGCACTGAGTTCACACGCAAACTGATTATATAACCAGCCTCGATGTCCATTTCTAATTCTTAATAGACTCAAACCCATTTTTGTTTATCAGCAGCGGCGCACACAGTCTGCAAATTAAAAACACACTCATTTGTAATTTGAAATTCTGTAGTTATCTACACTGGCTACAATTAAAGTGTCTGCTCCATGTAGAGAGGACGGTTGACTGGACAAACATTGGTGGAGGATTCAAAGGGGAAAATCACATTTTTTTGAAAGGATGTGGACTGACCCGAGGAAGAACCCATTCAATTTAATTTTAGAGTATGAAGTGTCAAATCCTTTTAAATCTTCTGTGTTCTGCCAGTGTCCAATCATTATTCTCAAATCACATGATAACGTGTGAGAAGTTTGACCAAATTCAACTTTACATCACAAGAAAAAGTTTAGTTTAGCATCATTTAGATACCAGTGAATGGGACGTCTAATTTGTAGTATTTCAGTCTTTATTTTCCAGGACAGTGTTGCAGCTCTGTTACTCAGCGTTGCCTCATATAGGGAACTAGCTCTGCCCAGGGAAGGAGCGGTGGGGGGGTTAGACCTGGATCTGTTGGTGTTTGCAGAGCAGAGCCGGCCGTGTATGAGCTCAGGGTCGACGAACACAGCAGATGACCTCGATTACACAATCTGTAGCCTACAAAACTACACACAGAAAGAGACAGAGCACATTAAGTCGACAATAGGAGACGAGATGAAGGACACTGGAGTAAAAACAGAGGATTATGGCAGAGAGATGTACAAAACAACGAGGACAACACAACTAAGGATTGTGTGTGTGTGTGTGTGGGGGGGGGGGTATCAAAAGGGGTTTGTGTGTGTCAGGGACAGAGAGATTGTTAAGAGAGGAGACAAAAATATGAAGAAATGAAAGAAAATCTCTACTTCTGGTTTGTAAAAAAAAAAACAAAGGAATGGAAGATCTGAGGAGACAAACCAAGACAAACAAACACTAATTAGAACAGAACGGGTGAAAAACCAGTCGTGGAGGAAACAAAGAGGGGGCGCGAGGAAGAGAGAGGAAGATGAAAGAGAAGAGGAGGAAATCAAGCTTGTTGTTTTCAGTGTTGATCTGTCGGAGCTGCAGCAGCGCAGCTCCTCTCAGTCTCTCCTCCATCACTTCAATGGATGGTTTTAATTTTCTCTCTCCGAGCTGCAGCCTCTCTTTCCGATGACTGACGCTGTTTTTTTTTTTAAAAAGTTGATACAGCCTTTAAGGTGGAAATGTCTTCACGTCAGTTTTCATTCGAAGCACAGGTGGTAAATGTGTTTTATTAAGACGGTCTGTCGACTTAAGGAGACGGTTCGTGAAGGTGATCCACATAATTACAGTGATACAGACGTTCCCGAGGTGTCGGAGTTCTTTTTAAAGGTGATGCGCATTTTTTTCAATGACTGTGTTCAAGGAAATATCTGACTTGAAATGTCAAAACATCTCTTTAAACTATTTATTTCTTTAAAGATGTGCTATCATTTATTTTTTCAGTGTAACTCCCGTGAGAAGAGACAGGGATAGAGGGAACGATGGAGAGAAAGTAAAAGAGACGTATGAAAGACTAACTGATGATGGGAGATGCTGGTTTTAACGTCCTGAGTGATCCGACCACTCTCAGTTCAGATGTGAACTCTTTCTCACACCGTGATCACATTCCATAACTAACCTAGTTTGACGACATCGCGACGCAGCTTGGGATCATGGGAGTTGTTATCTTCGTTACCATTTCTTCTCCTATAATATTCTGAGGTCGCTGTGTTCCCCTGTGGGCCTTAATGTAAGAGCTTTGGCAAACACGCAGTAAATTCAAACAGCGGAAGGAAAAACCGATCGACTAGTTAGCTGTGATCTAAACCTAACCCGGAGACGGGCAAAACCTCGGGTAAAAGGAATATGACGCAATATAAAGGCGACAATAATCAAAAGTCCTGTTACCATCTGGTGTGTTGTACCTTGTCTGAGCAGCAGCTGTAGTTTTCCTCTTTCTAACTCCAGACTCAGTCCAAGTCCTCCCTCTCCCGCCACCTGCAGCAATGTCCCAGAATTCCTCAGGGTTTTAAACTTCAGAGAGACGACCTCTTTGGATGTCCGCCTCGGCCCGGGACTCCACCCGTACAAGAGGCTGCCGCTGCTGCCGTCGAAACTCACCACATCAGAGGCTGAAGAAACAGGAAGTCATAATGAGATATCACGTGACCTTGAAATCTGACCAACACAACCACCAAAATATATTTAGTTCATCTTTCCAAGTGAATGTTTCTGCCAAATGTGACGGGAGGTTCCCGACGATCACATTGCCAAAGCTAAAAAACAACATTTTGTCAAGTCGCAGTGACCTTCAGCCAAATTCAAACTCGTTCCTGGGATGTAACATTCACTCAAAAAGAGACGGACGCACAGAAAACGTGTGAAAATAATACGTCCATCATAAAACACCTGCATCTGGACAGACAGGGTTTTGCTTAGTGTGATGTTGTGGTTGCAGCAGAGGGTGTGGAAGTCTTTATCACCTTTCAACAATAAATTTCACTTTTAGTGTCGGCTGCTTGCTGGGGATTTGGACTCAGGATATAGGGCTGAGGTGAGGTGAGGTGAGGTAAACACTGTGTGTGTGTGGACTGTAAAGAATACACTGCTTACACAGAATTTTAAAAAAGAGCAGCAGCAGCAGGAGTTTGGCTTCAATTTCCTTTTTCGGCCGAACAGCTAATTTCTGACTGAATGTTTTTTAATGAACTTGGCAAGTCTTTGACTCGCTCACGTCAAGACTCGCACACGGTCGCACCAACACTTCGCCTGCACTAATGCTCTTATTGGATTGTACAGCGCATTTCCTGCTGATTACAGAGCATCGGGCTGAAGCTCCAGAGCGCTGAGTCACTCTCTGCTCCACTAATCTATATACCTCTAACTCTGAACTCCATTCTGCTGGAATCCTATTTCACATGTCATATGAGAATATTATGTTTTATCTCATTATAATTATCCTGAAACAAGGAGGGTCTGCAACACAGTTCTCTGTACTGTCACAAAAATATCCTCACATTCATTTGTTTTCAGTCCAGCAGCTCAGAAGTTATCAACCTCTCGAGGTTTTCGTTATTTTCTGGGGCATTTTTCATTGATAAGGAAGTTGAGGTTTGAAACAAGGAGAGAGCGTTGGTGCTGTCATGGTCTTAATGTTGTGTTGTTCTGTACGGGACAGACTCAGATCATCGTATCACAACGGGCGACACAATGTTCACCACACAAAAGTGACAACTGCAGGTCTTTTATTTTGTTAACCCACGCATGGACAAACATTGTGTATGTGTGTGTGTGTGTGTGGTTTAAAAGCAGTTTTTATAGATTTGATAGATTTAGTGCACGTGACTGATGTCGTCTTTTTGTTTTTCTTTGTCTCAAAATCGCCTTTAATGAAAACTAACGATGATATTTTCTCTTGTTCTGCCACAATCACACACTAATACCAACAATACGGTTAAACTGGCTGCGTCTTTCACACTGTGACAAACTGTGTGCAGCTTTATTTCAGTTCCCTTCAGTACATCACGTTTGTTTTTCGAATTCTGCGCTTCAGGCTACACTAGTGAACCGTGAGTCGTCTACATCAACTGTCATTATGGCTCATAAACAATAAAAACATTACACAACTGTATCTACTGTGTCTTTAAATAACATTACAGGTTGTTTAATAAAATCCATCTTTTAAATGTTTCTCCATCCATCTTCTTCCAGAGGCTGCAAACACGGTTTTAAGGATTTTGAAGACACGCACCAGAAAATCACAGCACGAGCATTTTGTAAACGCTGAGTAAAATATGCCAATCAGGTAATTCCACCTTTGACTGGGAGTCAAGCAGAGTTTTGAATCCTGCACTTCTTTCTCATAAAACTTTCCAAACTCCACAAGACGCCACAACATGAGGAGCAGTGACAGGTTTGATCTCTGCTGTTCAGAAACCTGTAATGTTTGAGTCTTTCTCCACAGTGATGGAGTCAGTGTTGATATGAATAGCTGCTGTGCTCAGTGTGAATAAATCGTGTGATGTTTGTTTTGTTTCACTGTGACGATGTCCAGGCTCGTCCTGCCAAACGTAGGAAGAGAAATTAAAATGGAACAAAAGGCAAAGCAATATGGTTTGTGTGAAAAATAAACACTGCGATATGTGTTGTTGTTTTAATGTGAATAAAATGAGGTGAGAGTGTGAACTGATTGTGAAACATGGAATTATTTCCAAGAGAAGGCTGCCAGGAAGCCTTTGTGGGTTTTTTTGTTTCCCTGGGAAATCACACAACATATAAGTGGTAAACAGTCTTTCACTTTCATTTGACCCAAATTAAATCTATGGTATGTTGAATTATAAAATGTTGATTCTTTCCCTCTGTTGTTTGTTCTTTCAGAACTTTTTCCATTTTTCAGGTTCCTGTAAATATTCCCTGCAAACTAAATTTCCCTCAAGGCCAGTGAACAGGTTCAGCAGGTTGTTTGGAGGAAATTGGTAAAAACAAGCGTCCTGAGATTTTTCCAGAAAAATCATGCAGAGCATCCAAACCAGTGAGGAAGATGAGACTCACTATAAGGACATCCGTAGGTCTCCAGCCGCAGTCCGATCCGTCCATTGGGGTTCCAGCTCAGAGGGATGAGGCGGAGGAAGCGAGCGATCGCCGGCTGCTGCAGCTTGTACTGAACCACGCTGTCGGCATTACTGTTTCCTGGAAAAGACTGAAAACACACAGAGCTCTTTCAAACAGTTGCGTATCCTGGTGTCGGAATTCTTTCACGTGAAATAGAGCCACACTTTTCAGACGTGTGGTGATGTTCATGTTGTTTTAAGCAGGGCAACTATAACTAAAGCTGCAGGCACAAAAATCTGCATTGTGATTGGTTCAGTAGATGCTCCTCTATTTAAAATGCTGCACATGATCTGAGTTTGTGGGAGACAGGATGTAAATGCGTAGAGCTGGACACCTGCTCCTCCCAGGTAAGAAACACCGCGTTTGTTTTCTCCACAAACAAGATGGAAACTGCTTTGTATTCCAGCGTGTGTCCACTGAACCATGTATCATCCCCACAATGGATCAAAAACAAGTCCAGCACCACGTCCCATGACTTAGGGAAGTGCTCAGTTCAGCAGGAGTTGGGAGGTGATGCCTCACTGCCTCCGCTGTCTGTCCACCTAATTTCTTCATCATTCAGTTTTCCAGAGGCCAGCTGAGCTCTCTCTCTCTCTCTCTCTCTCTCTCTCTCTCTCTGGCTCTGCTCTGCCATGTTTTGACTCATGATCAGTGTTGGAGAGAAAAACTTAAATGCCCAATAAACTAGATGCACTATTACTGTGTTTGATCTGATCGTTCCAGTGCAGCTGAAACAGACAGAGGTCAAACGAGGCTGTGGCAGAAATCAATAGCTTACTCTACAGGGAGGATTAAACAGAGAATGACAGGTTTTTACTGGGAAATAAGTGGAGCCTGACACGTATGGATTTATACCCATATCAAAAAATATATAGAACTTGAAATAAGAAAATGAACATATATATTTTAATATAAATGCACAACTTTTCTGCATTTTGTCCCCCTGTAAGATAAGTTTTCTGCCCAAAATGTTATCGTCCAAACGATAAATTGTTAAACATTTGAATGTACACTACTTTTATTTACAATATGGTTTGATACATATTTTACACTACTGGTTTATTTATAATTTTACTACCGATGTTCTTATTTTTACTTTTTCCATCCTGCTGCTATAACAAAGCTTATTTCCCCAAAGTGGGCAAACCTACCTTATCATCTTAATAAAACACACAAGCTGTATTAAAAACATCCCATATTTTAGCACTTTAATGACGGTTATATTAGTGGCCATGGTTATAAAATTAATTCCATCCAGCAGAGGTGGGTGATTACACAGTGTGTCTGTTTTTATTCCTTCCTGCTCCTCAGCACCTTCCACATGCAGCTACACGACAGCGACAATAAAAAAACTGAGTTTACCGTCTGTTAAAAATCAAACTGTAAAGACGGTCGAACAGAACAATAAGACAGAGTTACAGGAAAAAAAAAAAACATGGAGCAGAATCTCCTCAGCCTCTCTGTCAGCAGCTTTAGTGTTTGGCAACAAGTCTGCACATTCAGCAGAGCTGCTGCTTCATCGTTTATAAATGAAGCTGTAAACTCACGATGACTGAGTTTATCTGAACAATGTGCACAGAGCCATGTACTCCGCTGCTGCTTGACACTACATCACCTTATATGAGTTAAACAGAACAAGATGCGATGCTGTTTATCGATCCCTGAGGGGAAGTAAACAATGAGAATAAAAATGTGGCTCATGTGAGTGGACTCACCCCAATGCTGTCCTCCTGTCTGTACTGCTTCCAGTTGTGTCCCGTGTCGCTGAACATCAGCAGGTACGACGACAGCCAATCAGAGCTGCCGTATCGGCCCTGGGTGGCGACGGCGGTGATCCTGGTTCGCTCACCCAGGTCGACCTCCAGCCACTGATACCTGTCTGAGGTGAGAGGAGACCAGCCTCCAGCTCCTGCAGAGAGAGAGGAGAAAACACTCTCATCCATCTGGGAGGAAATGAAATAGGCTCTGAGAGATGCTGAACATGAATTGCATAGCTCGACCTTTCACTCTCAACTAGAAATGTTCGGTTAGGAAACAGGAATGGAGGAAAATGATTGAACGAGGGAAAACATCTTCAAAAACATTAAATCCAAACTGGAATTTGCTGAATCTGAATCATGTAGGAATATTTGTCTTGACAAATAAATTGCTGCACAACAAAGACACTTCAAACACTGAAAAAGTACACAACTTGTGTGTGTGTGTGTGTTTGAGCATGTCCATGTAGGAAAATGCTTTGTCAGGCCAAAAAGAAGACGCAAAGCTAAAACACCAGATGGACGGATTCAGAGGGAGGAGGCTGCTGCTGACCAGAGTCCCACTGAGCGCGCACACACACACACACACACACACACACACACACACACACACACACACACACACACACACACACANCACACACACACACACACACACACACACACACACACACACACACACACACATTGAATGGCGCTTAACGCCACCTGACTGCATATTAACACACAACCAACGCAGATAAATACATAACGTCCTCGGGGAAGGTATTCATCTAAAATTTGACTGTGGCATTTTCATGCTCCCCAGATGATGAACTCTTTCAACTTGGTCCCACACTAAAGCTAAAATATCCGGAACAAGACACGAAGAAGAATGTGATGTTTCATTCATTTCGTTTTAATGATGTTGCTTCCCTAATTTGTTTGAGTGACCTGAAATATTTAGATTCTTTTTTTCTCTTCTTACATTCACCCCCTGGTTAATGTGACGTCTCTCCGAACCCTCAGTGATGTGTAGACAGGTCGAGGAGAAAAGCTCTGCAGTTAAAATGAATCAGTGTCGGTCTGGTGGCTGGTGCAACATGATCTTAAAAGAGCTAAAGGCCAAAGCTAATAAGCACTTGACTAACAGACGTGTCCAGTGACAGGCGAACAGAGGAGAGCCGACACTTTGACATTTACTCGTGAAGCTGTGGAGGAAAAGAGGGAGAGATCAGAGGGAAACGACTCAGGGATTGGAGGCGTTACAGATATTTACTGTGTCCACCCTGTCAGTGTAACCGAAGCTAATAGAACTGAGGTGAACTGATAGCTGACGGTCCAAATACGTTTTGTCACGGCTGTCGCTTTGAATCACAGAGATCGCCCCGTTTTTTTATCTGAGTATCCGTGGCACGACCAGACCGAACCACCCACTGTGGAGAGCGCAGGCTAATGGAGGTCAAGAGTGTGACATCACTGCTCTGAGGGCCGAGGGGAGGATGAAATGATAATTTTAGCCAAAACGAATCAGGGAACGATGAGTGGAAATTTCCCAGTGGAAATGTAAAAAAACAATTCTCCGGGGACCATCTCGGAAACAGTACCGATGCAGAATTGGTTCTGTTTTGTTTAGTTTGTTTAGAGGAGTAATAAAAAAAGAAAGCAGGACCTTAATATTTCTGCTTCACGTCACAATCTCTACTGAACAGACTCACAGCCCATGATCGTGGCATCTGGGAGAATAGGTGAAGACACATCATCCGTCTTTATATACAGTTATGAGGAGGGACAAAACAAAGACAAAACAAAGACAAAAACTTGTTTTTTAAAAAGCTGGTGGAGAGTTTATGTCATTAACTGTGAAATAAAACGAGGTGACGTGAACCCAGACAGCCGGACCAAGCCTGGCTGCTTCTGAAGACTTGAACAGAGGATGGATGGATAACCAAACAAATGACCATTTCTTCATCAATTATGCACTGATATTCCACCAGAGAGCAAGAGAGAGACAGACGGGTTGACTGAGGGTTGGTTGGAGGTAGACAGGTGGAAGGAAAAGGCCACGGAGGTAAAAAGCAATTGAAAAGCCGACGGGAAGAGTCAGGCAGCTTACGCAGCTGTAAAGACGTGTAATGGGCAGACTGCTATAAGTGCTGGGCCCAGAATGAGCACTGGTCATTTGCATGAGAATACAAACTCTGGAGGGTAATTTCAGGAGCCTGATAACATGTCAGTCGGACAGAGCAGCCAACGGGAGGCTAATGGGCTGGAGAGCACTGCAGGTTCTCTGCACACGAAGCAGGAAAGATTTTTTTATTCCGCTAAATGTCCATCACAAAACCAGCACTGTGAAAAAAGTCAAAATATCTTATTTGAGGTTGAGTAAATCTTATTTTCTCATGGCCAAGCAAAATCATCCCGTAAGAACAATTTGCATTATAGATTATAGAACTTTTTTCAGTCTAACTGGTCTTGACTGGTCTTGGTTGGATATTTGATCTGTCGTTCACTGGGAAATGAACCGACCGACTTCAGAAAAGAAAATCTGGGTTATTTATTGCATTGCATCGTGTCACCAGGACAATACAATTAAACTGACAGAAAGAAAATAGACCATAGGGATTTGAGTGTTGTTATTGAAAGTGAAACTGATGCTATCTGAAGCTGAACTGTTGAAATATTAGAACATTTTGGAAGATTGATTCTTGATTAACAAGCCGTTCTTTCACTCAAATTCAAATTACAGGCTCCAGCTAAACTTTAATTCCACCTTCAAATATCCGTCCTCTGTAAAAATGTGGCACAATAATTCTTTTCAACGTAATTGCAGCGGCGTCACTGATAACGGTCAGCGAACAAAGACGATGTTTAAACATGGAGGCTGCTATTAACATTTTGTAAGAAGACAGAGCTGCCTGAATTAGTTCTTACCAATGAAAATGGAAATTGCACGGCAGAGTGAAACTAATGATTATAACCAAAGTCAGATTGTACAGAGGACAGGTAGACGGACGGAGACAGATACAGGAAGACAGGAAGTGGAGAAATGAAGTTGAGAGTGAAAAAGGTGGAATTCAATAGAGAGAGATAAAAAGTGAGAGGGTTAATATGAGCAGAAGAAAAGAAGGAGACTGAAAGAGTTGAGTCATTCATCCAGGAGCCTGCTAATAAAAGGCCATTCGTCTCCAACCACTAAACTATCACGGCTTTCCTTTCGCCTCTATTGTCAGACTGGGAGCAGTCAGACCTGCACTGGGATCAGCTGCGTCAGGTTAAAGGCTGAAGCTCAGAGTTACGTACGTTACGAACACCTGCAGGGTTTTGTAAAATGTCTACAGGCTATTGAGAGAACAGGTTAAAACAGCATTTACATTCAGACCAGTCAAAATATCTTTGTCCCTGGACCGTTACGCTGCTGGCTTCATGAAGGGAAAGTCTGTCCACCACTTTAATCCAGACTGAAAGTTCTCATCAGCTATTGTTGACATGAATGGTGCACAGATGATGATTCCAGGCTCTGGCACTGCTACATTTCAGTTTTAAAAGAATCCCTGAAGTCAAAAAATACTCCTGAGTTTTCCAGCCCATAAAACGGAGAAGTACTTTGGACATGGAGACACCAGCACACACATGCAACGTGCACATGGTTATTTGTTAAGTGTGTGAGGACGGAGATTTTTGATACAAACACTCTGAATGGAGATTGTTTTGTTTTCAATCCATTTTATAAAACCAAAGACATATTTGTACGGATGTAACTTCGGCCTTTTCCTCTATAGCGCAAACAGCTGACTGACGTTTTTACTGATCAAATGAAATATCTTAAAAGTTACTTAATGAATCACTCACTTAATTGTCATCCAGATAAAGCAGAGATATGCATGGTTTCCAGAGGATACATCTAAATTATGTTACTGATACCCGGGCGTCTCTTCTGTTGTTCGCTTTGATTGAAATGTGTCAACAACTGATTTTCATTATAAAACTCTTTTCTTGTATTCATGCCCCTCTGAGGATCAGCTGTAACTGTAAAGTTCTACACCATCATCCAGAATATTATTACCTTGTTGAGATGATTAATGTACACAACAGTCTACTCCATTATCCAGCTCGAGAAGCACACCAGTAAGTTTTATATCATGAATTACAGCTCTATGATGTATTGCCGCTCCCATATAAAGTGAATAATATGTTAACGTTCACAGCACCTGGATGATTCTTAGATTCAATAACAACCAGGTTTGAACATGTGTAAAGTTACAGGAGCTTCCAGCTACAAGCCTGTGTTATTAAACCTCTTGTAAAGATGCTGTGTAGGTGCTATTCCCAGACTCTGATAAGCTTTGTTCACTTGGTGGGTAAATGAATTGAGAGCAAAGTTGATCCTCAGAGAACCAGAGGAGGCAGAGTGATATCACCAGCAGCAGCAGCAGCAAGAGATGGAAATGAGAGGGAGACGTTCATTTATTCATCGATTTCCTCAGCAAGCAGCTGCGATCGCTCGTTGGGATCCTGCACCGCGAACGTTGCGAAGGAGGAAATGTGACATGTACACCTTCTTAATCTGCAGACCATGAGATTAGGAGGATATATGAATATTGCAGATGAGCAGTGAATGTTGGGCCACTTTATCTGCCGATGAATCAAAAAATTTAGTTATTGACCATCGTATATTACATTTCAATGATTTGGTGATAAAATAATCCTGTAATCAAAACCCCTCTGGATACAGCAAAGTCTAATTAATCAGTAACTGTACTGAGTTGGCTAAAAAAATCTATTTTCTCTGTCTACATAACCATAGTTATGTGGCTGCACTGCATTCTGGGTTACTTTTGGTTATTAATAATTTACACATATATATATCTGTGCTTCTTTTATGACTCAATTCTTTGCGTACAATTGTAAAACATGAGTTTAAAACTACTGCCTGTGTACTGAAGATTTTGCTCGTTAATCGTAATGGAATAAAAAACATGTTTTAATGTTTATCATTCAGTTCCATATAAATCACATTATTGAGCTATCACTCTCTAGACACAGTAAAATCCATCCAAACTGGAAAAACCAAAGAGATCTCCAAGAAGTAGAGCCAACACCTCTGGATCGCCCCCTGGTGACGGGCTCCAAGAAAGGTTATAGTGAGCCTCGCCTCTTCAACGTCACTGAGACCTCTGAGTCCCTTCACTTCTCAGTACTGACATGTTGTGTCAGTGTCACGTTGGAGGTAAATGATATAATTCTACACTTTAGACTTTGAAATAAATAATTTCACCTCAAATATGCTAAAGCTGATCTTAAATCAGTCAATCTGCGTCCTCAAAAGTATCATTCATACAGTTTCAGGCCTCAGTGAAGATATCTGTCAGTCCTGTGTAACCAGAGAGTCAGATCTGCAAACAAGGGGAGAGAAGACTGGCAGCGAAACGACCGGAGCATTAAACTGCAGCGTTCTTCCGGCTCTGCTCACTTTAGTTTCCCAAGTGGTGGCAATCACTCCTGTCTCAGCCTCCCAGCTGATTCTGAGTTTAGATGTCAGGATAAAGCAGCGGAGCCGGTTCCCTGAAGAAAGCTCCACAACAAAACACGCTCTTCATTTAGTGCAAGCCTCTCATCAACATCCAGAACAGGACTCCCTGCTGAGTTCTCATGCTGGACCAACAAACAAAATTCACATTTATCCCTCTGGCATAAACTCTCAATACAAATAGCACCCACAGAGAATAAAGAGGGGACAAAGCAGCTATTGCTGGATCTCTCTTTTAGACTGTCTCGTCTCTGTGAAATGATTTTGATCCTGTCTCCTCTGCCTCCATCTAATCCAGTCACCAGAGATTTACCTGTCAGGAAAAAAAAAAACGTTGCTGTTTGTTGTGTTTTGTGTTCCGAGCTCAAACAAAGTCCCTCCTCCACTGGCAGAGGAGAGATTTGGCTCTGCTGCCTCTCTGTTGTCTCTTTTGCACAAACACGTCAACATCATCACGTCTCTTTGAGTCAAAAATCCTCCTCACCTTCTCTCCTGTTGAGTTTGGCGAAGCCCGGTGCGTGGCTGCTGGACAGCTGGGAGGAGCTCCTGAAGGACGATGGCGGCAGATTGGACACCAGAGCGCTGTCACACGCGTCTGTAAACCAATAAGAAAGCAGAACAAATATGAAACTTAGATATCGATTCACAGCCAGGATGGAAATCTTTAAAGGAGATTGTCTTGGTCAGACACTCTCACAGCAACTGGACCATTTCTAGAACGCTCAGGTGAAGGACGGAGCCTGAGGAGAGCAGCAGGAAGCAGGACATGACTCATGTGTTGAGTCAGTATCATTCTAAATGTGCTGTGATGATACCGTCCATTTTACATTTACAAACAAACACAGTCACACTCAAACCTTCTGGTCATTTCTTCTTCAGTTAAGCTGCACAGCTTGGACTGTGGGAGGAGGCCAGAGAAAACATGGACCTGTTCATATGTGTGTTAACAAACAGAGGGGACCTGGTCAGCTGGCAGGTTCGAACAATCTTGCTGCGAGGTGCTAATCACTGTCCCACCGTGCCGCCCACGTACAGCAATATTACTGCAGATTTTTTTTCTTGATTAATCAAAATCAACTGTTTTGTGAGTGAAATGTCCAAAATAAATGATTTCAGAATCCATTGTGACATTTACATTGTTTTATATTTTAGTCAAATCACATTGACACACTTTAGCTGCAATGTGTTCAGGGATTTATCGTTATATAAGCTTCTCTGCAGGTGTAAACTTTTCTGCAGCAAAATAAGAAACTTGGTTTGCAGAGATTTCTGGCGATCATTCCCACATGTGAGAAGGAACACACACACACACACACACACACACACACACACACACACACTTTAGTATCCAGAGATAGCCTCACAGGAACACCCATTCAGAGTGAAAGAAACTAATTTAAGTGCCACAGAACTAATTCTGAGCACTGCAGCACCTGGAGGATCAGAAAAGCAGAACAGCAGGGGGAGATTCAGAGTTATTGGGCAGGAGCATCATATTTTTCAGCTTCAGTAAACAGAGTAGTGCTTCAATCAGCAATAAGTTTAAAGTCACATTAGTGAAAACAAGGGGATTGATACAGAGACGTCTCAGATCTTAGTATGAGAGAAAAATCATAAAGGCAAATAGCAGGAAGCCTTAAATCCTGTTCTGCAGGGGTGAGTGGTTCAGAGAGCAGAGATCAACAGTGGAAAACACACTGAGGATATCGGATGCAGCAGGAGATGGATTATTCTGTGTCTCACCCTGAGTGAAAAACTGTTGAATTGTTAAAAAAACAGCAGGACAGGAGCTCAGTGATGCTGCCAGATGAAAGTCTCCAAATTATCTGAGCTCCTCAGGACCAAAGTTTCAGACTTTTTGCAGTCAGCAGTGTTTTAAAATAAAAAAAGAGTAAAGCGAGAAAGAGAATGCGAGAATTTGAATGTGTACAAGTTCCGGCTGAGGTCCAAAACTGTTTCCAAACCCCTCATCACGTACAAGATGGAAGAAACAACATGGAGTCGACCTGGACATTTTCAGAAACTGTTTTTTATAGCGTCAAATAACATGATAAGTCATGTACCTACGTAAAATGACAAAAACCATCTTTCAGAAAAAGTTAGCTATGTGTATTTTGACTTTATAGTTTGGGGATCCGATCTATTAAGATAGAGGAGGGCAGGTTTATGACCTAAGCTGCAGCCAGCCAGCAGGTGGTGATTGAGATGTTTTGGCTTCACTTTTGGAGATGTCACTTTGTCCACTTTATAAACAGACTCAAACTGCTAACAGGCAGCAGCTGGAGCCAGAGGAGTAAGATGATTCTAATAACGTAAACAGAAAGTGAATATGTAATATGTTTCCTGCTGCACCGTTAATGACAAAAACCAGTTTGTGACTCTCTGACTATTATTAAAACACAAGTGTCAGAGCGGAGCCTCGTCATTGAGAAGAAGGTTTAATGTCCCCCAGGTGGAAACAGGTCTTTGAGCTGTAACGGCACCGTATTAAATAAATGAACAGTGTAATAATGTCCAGTTTGATGAATGAACAGTGTAATTCTGTCTGGATGGATAAATGGAAGTTGTAATCCTGCAGTGTTGTGGAGATGAATGGTGTTTTGACTGGTTCATGCAGGCTGGATGCTGACGGATCAGAGGAAACCTTCACGTGTTAACACACTTTAATGGTTTATGAATGATCGACTGCAATAAAAGCATCATATATTACACATGCTGCAATAATTAACAGTAATGGAGCTGGATTTAATCGGCTTCTCCTCCACGTTCTCCCATAAACATGAACATAAAACATGAGTTATTACAAGACTCTTCACTCTCTCTGCAGATATTTCACTTGTTTGTTAAATTTTCATCCCACTGAGAAAAGAGAACTGACTGTTTGTTCAGTGAGATGCTCTGTGGTCGGCACAGTGTAATTCTATCTCACACAGAGACACACACACACAGATTCATGAACATCAGCTCAGTAAATATTCATCATTTTCCTCTCCAGCTCCAAACTTTAAAGTCAAACTAACGCCGCCTCCGTCTGAAGCCTCTCTGTTAATGGATGTTGTTCTCCGCCATCGAGACAAGAGACAATTACCGTGATTCACGTCCCGGTCCGATCCAGACCCACAGCTCTGACAACGAGGCTCAGGCTTCAATTACTCTGTCAACATTAATGTTCTTCATCTCAACAACACGAGGTCTTCATCTGCCTCTTCAGATCCACCACAGCCCCGGGATTTGAAACTTTTTAAACTTGAGCATTTTAACCCGGGTCTTTAACCAGCTGATTAGACAGATTCCACAGCAGCAGTGTTATTTATCTTCAGCAAAATTAACCGGCATGAAATTAAAAATTAAGCATTTTAGATTTTAATCACTAATAAGGCTTCAAAAGCTGAAGTTGGAGATCTTATAATTACAGTGTTCAAAGAGGTGTGAAATTCTGTCCCCATTTAGGGACAAAGCAGCTGGTTTTCTGCTGAATAAAGAGACCAGAGGTGGCAGCCTGCCCTCAAAATAATCTCCTTATCTATTTACTAACGTCTCAGTAACGATTGACTGAAGTCAACATGCTACAGTTCATTTAAAGGTAGAAATCCTCCTCTGTCACACTGCATTGATTAAAAACTGGTGTGCGACCGCCGCACTGTGAGAAACACAGCTTTTAACATCTCGTTCAATGTGCCTCATTTTCTTCGCCCACGCCTGCGGATTGCTTCAGTCACATTTACTTTTCATTGAATCACCACTTTTTAAATAGTATATTAGCTGCTGGAAAAGACAATTTAATGTAGGTTCATGGTGTCTAACTTTAAATGCTCCCCCTAACAAAGAAAGGTAGAGGAGCTGCAGTCATGGACAGTGGAAAGTGATGTGTTTTCTGAGCATTAGGAGAATGTAAATGTTGTTGCTGTGGCTCAAGAGTTAGATCTCACTAACTAGAAGGTTGTAGGTTTGATCCCAGTCTCTATTTCTGCTGGCCAAAGTGTCCCCGGGCAAGATTCTGAACCCCACATTGCCCCTGACGTCTGCTGCAGCAGTGTGTGACTGAGAAGGAGCTGCACATAGATGCAGTGTATAAATGTGAATGGGTGAAAATAAAACTGTACTGAAAAGCACTTTGTCTGGTCATGAACACTAGAAAAACACAATGTAAATACAGATACCATTTAAACCTTTTCCATTTATAACCCTGGTTAAAATGATGAACCTGAATATGTCTCCTTTAAGTGAAGGAGTCTAACCTCAGAGTTTCTTGAGCAGGTATCATTAAAAATCTCTTATATTCAAACTTTAAGTATTTTTATAATTAGAAAGTGGTTTTGAGCCTTATACATATTTAATTTCCCTGTTTAAAATGCGATCTGGCAACTTGAAAATCCTCAGGAGGCCTCCAGTTCTTTGCTCCCTCCTGGTAATATTTATCCCTGCAGGCCTTGGGCTGACAGACACTTGCTTCTGTGGATGCTGAGTGAGCCCTCGGCATGAAAAGCAGGTGAATTACAGTTGTCTGAAGAGGAGGAACGAGAGGCACGGCTCTCCAGTGCAGAGTGCTGTAATTCCCCTGAGGTGATAATGAGCGGTGAGAGCGCAACCTCGCCGCGGTAACACTCGACACAGAGCGAGAGATAGAGGGAGCGGCGTAGTTTAGAAAAACGCTCTTCCTCAGCAGGGGGGGGTTTGGTATTTAAGAGTGGACATCGCTGACAGTGTGACCAGTGGAGCACAAACAGACGGCTCCAAGCAAAATGGAGCTAAATGTTGAAATACCTGCCGGACTCTGCAGCCACTGAACCTCAACACTGACCCTGACTGTGTGGGACGGAGACCTCTCCTGAATATTTAAACCGCTGCACCTTCCTCAAGTACAAACTGCTCAAGAACAAACGCAGTAAATTCACTAAATTCAGACTTTTTTTCCTGACTTTTACATTTTAAGCATCCAGGTCAACAGACATATAAACTGCAATTCCCAAATGACTATATTTATATCGCTGCAATACAAAATAATACTTTTAACTTCAAGACAAGGTCAGCTCTGAAAAGTTACACGAGGAAGAGATGAGAGAAAATATGAATATGAATATGTCTTATTTCTACTGTGGTACTGTGGCATTACTGCTCTAATACTGGCCCAGGAAAAAATATAAGTTCCCGCCTAAGGTGAAACAATAATAGATGGGAAGTGGCACAAACCTCAGCAGGACAGGAAACCGTTATGTTGACATCTGAGTGATAAGAAATATCTTTTCATTTCATATCAAACATCCTTGTGGACACCCATTCATCACCCTCTGGCCAATCCATCCATCCATGCAGCCTCCAGTGACACACACACTCCTTCAAGTCTATTTAATCACGAGTGACATGGTAGACTAATGCCAGAGACAGGGAGGGAGGCCACGGCTCATTCACCTGCATTGTCCACTTCGTTACTGTTCTGCTGAAAAACAAAGTGCCCACACTGGAGACCCTGAATACCGATGAGCTCCATCCATCACCTCAACAAACAGCAGCGAACAGGAGGTCCCGCACTTCAGAGCTCTATAAGCCACACAAACCCCGAGTTCAGTGCTTCCGAGATCAAGCCGAGCAGAATTC